AAGTGTCTATCCACTTCTACATGCTTGGTTCTATCATGTTGAACTGGATTATGGACAATTTCAATAGAAGCTTTATTATCACAATGTAACTCAATAGGCTGATTGTAGCAGATTCCTAATTATTGTAGGATGCTCTTAATCCACAACAATTCACACACTCCATGTGCCATTCCTCTAAACTCTGCTTCTGTACTCGATCTAGCCACAACTTTATGCTTCTTACTCTTCCAAGTAACTATATTGCCTTCAACAAAAGTAAAATATCCCAAAGTTGACTGTCTGGTAGTTTTATCTCCAGCCCAATCTGAATCTGTATAGCCTCTAATTCCGGGACTATTATTATTATTATTATTATTTTGGTACATTGCCAGGAGGTATCCCCATTCAACCTTCTCCGGGCACCATGCCCTCGGGGTACGGCCCGTTTGGGCTAGCCCCTCATTGTAACAGTGGGTGCACTAAGCTTCGCAACCGGAGAAAGGACGAGACTAATCCCTCAACCGAAGATTTTTTGGCTTATCCTCTGGCCCCCAAAGATTTTCCAAGAAACTGCTTGAGGCAGGGTTTGATCCCTGCACCAAGCAATCCCTTGGGAGCTCAGCTGCCTACTGAGCTATCCTTAGTAAAGCAGACCTTTCCCTGGACACCCTTTTAAATACCTCAATATTCGATACACAGTAGCCATGTGATCCTCACTTGGGTTATGCATAAATCTGCTCACAACACTAACTGCATAAGCAATGTCTGGCCTAGTATGTGATAAATAAATTAGCCTCCCTACTAACCTTTGATATCTATCAACATCAGTCTGTACTTGATCAGGATATAAATCCAATACATGATTCATTTCAATTGGTGTTTCTGCTGGTTTACATGCTGTCATTCCTGTTTCTGCAAGTAGATCTAAAATGTACTTTTTTGTGACAAAAAAATTCTCTGATTTGATCTAGCAATTTCAATTCCAAGAAAGTACTTTAATGATCCTAGATCTTTCATTTCAAACTCATTTGCTAAATGTCTTTCCAATAACTCCATTTCAAATAAATCATCACCAGTCAAAACTATATCATCAACATACACTATTAACACTGTTACCTTTCCTCCATTATGTTTTATGAATAGGGTGTGGTTTGCATTACTTTGTTTGTATCCAAACTTCTTCATGACTAGAGAGAGCCTGCCAAACTAAGCTCTAGGTGATTGCTTGAGGCCGTATAGTGCTTTTTCTAATCTACACACTTTATTTCCCTTCAAGTTGGCATGTTTGGCGCTTGGTGGAATTTCCATATATACTTCTTCTTCTAGTCTCCATTTAAAAAATGCATTCTTTTATTCTGGTCAACTTCACTGGCGAGACCTACAGGTTGCAATTCAGCTCTCACCAATCTCTTCACATTATGTGGCGGGACCTCACCATGTCACTCTAATATCGTCAACCAAAGTGGCAGGTTAATGCCTATAGGCCGTCGACTCTGGCATACGCGTCAACTACCATGACGGGAGTGATGACCAGATCCGAGGTAGCATGCAATCACGTTAACTAATCTGACGAGACTGATCTCGTCATATGTTTTGACGCGTTTGACTGCCTTAGTTTGGTTATACACTTCAAAAATGCTTTGAGTTGGAGATACATTTGTAAAATATTACTAGTATGATCGTTTTGCCTGAATTAGTGTCATGAACGTTGCTCTCCCGTGACATTTTTGTACTATTCAAACCTTGTATGAAGACCCTTCCCATCGTATAAATCTTCTCATCATAATATTGTCATGAACGTTGCTATCCTTCCAAACTCTTCGTCACATTTTGATATTTTATTGAATTCACTTCCCAATATCATTACCAAACCATCTCTTCAAAATATATGACCTCTATTTCTAGAAATCCCATGAAGCTAGAAAAATTCATTTTATAGAAGAATTCGTCATACCATTTTAAGTTTATTTGGTCTAAAATCAAAAAATCAAATTAATACACCGTATGGAGACTGGAGAACATGGAGTAGTGATATAGGGTTGCTTGCCATTCGGCCATAGGTATAGATGTTGGCTGAGACAGGGGTTTTGGTAAATGGCGTAGATTCAATTTTCAAAACAACGAAAATTTAAAAATGAACAACACTAGTAAAAACTAAAGCAGAGAAGAGACCGTCATCTCGCGCCCTAGACAAACACGAGGAGAGGCAAACACTTATGTTCCGTTTGTTTTTTTAAAAATAACTTTTATTTCTTCTTTATTTTAGAAGTGTTTTTATAAAAATTAAATCTATTTATATTTTTATTTAACTTTTGACTTTTGCTTCTTTTTAAAGTTAAAATTTTTAATTTTTGGAAAAAGTAGATTTTTGGCTTTTTTTTGTGAATTCTATTTTTTTTTAGAAGCTAAAAGTGAGAAGTGCTCTTTTCCTTGAAAAAAAAACATCTTTTGAAGCAAAAAAAGCTCATCTAAACGAACTCTTAGAACTATGAAAGTATTCTGATCATAAAGTCAAAGATTACATGAATGAAATTAACTTTTGTTGGTAAAAGCAATTATACGTGCATTTGAATTATAAAATAGACATTATGATGTTAGGTGCGTACAATTTTAAATTAGCAAATTTAATTGCACATATATGTATTTTAAAAAAAGTTGTTTCCACTAAAAAGAATTTTAAAAATTTTCAAATGTAAAAAAATATATGTCCCTTTCAAAGGCATGAAATAATCATTGAATATAATAATATTGTTGCCAACTTATACTAACACTAGTTTTCCGAATAAGTTTAGTAACCCAATGAATTAAGATTACAAGCTTAAATTGAAAATATTGTAAACTTTATTTATTATGCAATGGACTAAACATTCTTTAAAAGCAAACACTCCATAAAGTGTTGGACAAAAATGAAAGGAAATTCAATTTTGTTGGATATAAATGCAGACGAGTCTATAGTGTAGACTATCGTAAGATGTCTGTTGTGTCTTGGCTGTTTTTAAAGTTTCCAAGAAAACACATAGCACCTCTAAAACAGGGCAAAGTCTGAATCCAGATCTTGAATACACATCACATGCATATCATTACTTTCTCCAAGTTTGGATTTAAAGTATATGACTTTTATCATTCGACAAAATAAACTCCTTATAATTTTTTATTTTTAAAATAAAACGTTTAATTTTTCAATATATTTTTAAAATTTTTAAAGTATCAAAAGCAAACTAATAAGTCTCATATTATCATACTAGTCTTATATAATCATTATAATTGTTTTATAGGTTCGCTTTTTGTCATGTCACATGACAAGATCATTTTTCTGCACACACAAATCAAGTGTGCGTCCCACGCTTAAAAAACAAAAGTCAAATCAAAATCAGGATACGGCGCCGTATCCTCAAGATACGTTGCTGGATCCTTGTTGCAGGAATGAACAGTGTCATTCTTACAACATAATTCTTATATTTCCCTTGTTCTGTATAATACAACCTCACGCCCATTAAAACGGTATATAAACTCATGTATCAAAACGGTATATAAATTGGGTTCAGAATGTTATTCAACATAAATAATATTAAAGACTTTTTTTTATGGGAAAAATGTGTATCATTTTAAAAGATGTAAAATTGTGTCATTTTAAGTGAGAGAAAAAGATAAATCATGAAGGAGAGAGTGGATAAAAAAATTAAAGATGCGGGTCCCACTTCTTTGTGAGAGTGAAATGACACAAGTTATGTCATTTAAAAAAACAAACATTTTTTCTTTTTTTTATAGTGATGGTCCGTCAAATTAAACTTAAAAAAATATTATATTTTTTAGCTGATAAAAAAATATTACATTTAGTTAAAATCACCCACGTAGTTAATTACCAAACTAAAATTACGAATAAATTCGTCACACATACAAAATTAAGATGAGTCATGAGTTAATCGATAAAATTAAAATGAGATATTTTTTTCACATGAAAAAAGTTTATATAAGTTCTTTTCCACGAGTAAAGTTTATATCGATCAATTAGAAATCACAAAGAGCATTAATTAATTAAAGAATAAAGTTCCAATCACTAATTTATATCTAAATATTTTTTGCTAATAGCGGAAACTTTTTTTAGTCTTTGTTTTCGGAAAGAAAGGTTTGCGCTAAATTACACATCGAGCCCCAAAAATACTCGTTTATTTTTTTTTGTACCCTCTCCCCCCTTAGTATCTTTGCTGCTTTTCTTCACGACCAAATAAAAAAGAAATCTTTGTAAGGAAGGGCGCCTGCATTTTCCACTCCCGGAGCGAGAAATTGACTCAAAGATGCAATCTTGTTCATTAGTATCTAACCCCATATCTTTTTCCCATCGATTCATAAAAGTGATAACAGACAAAGGCTTTTGAAAAAGTGGAGGCGAGGGATTATTGGGAATAAGAACTTAAAAAGTTGCCGCAAAGAATCTTAATCCACACAAGATATAAAAAAAGAAAAGAAAAGAAAAGAAGCTAATTTTGATACAAAAGAAAGAAATTTAAGAGATAGCTTCCCTTGGCCATTTGGATAAGCCTCCTCCGCAGTTTTCCTTGTTGATTGATTAACTAACTAGCCGTAATGCCTGGAAGGACTAGCAAGCAAGGCAAGGAATGTGACTAACTGAGAGGTTCTGCAAAGGAGAATTAGATAAACCTGAAAGGAAGGGAGAGAGAGAGAGAGAGAATGGCTCTCTATTCTCTCATCTTCCCCTTCTATTTCTCTTATCTATTACCATATCCTTCTTCTATTGAAATAAACTAAATCCCCCTCTAAAACCCCACTAACAAAGCAACTTAATTTATTTCAATTTAGAATAATTACAGCTACCATTATTTCTATAATCATAGTTTATTATAAAAACCCATCCCATTTCCCCAAAATTTTCTAGCTTCCTAAGTTGTTGAGCATTGAAGAGGAAGACATCTCTGAAAGGAAGCATTTTTACAGAAGCAACAAAAAAAAAACCCCAACATCCCCACACCCACCTTCAAGTTGTTATTATTGTTGGTTGAAGAATGCTTCCTATGAGCTGCATTCTTTTAATGTGCCTCTTGAGTTCTTTCTCACCCCCAATCCAAGCTTTATTTAACCTCACCTTGCCCCACCAACATTCTTACCCTGAAGCTGTGGTTCAAGAAGTTCAACGGTAACCCAAACCCTCCTCACCCAACTGCATTGTTCATCTTTCAGCATTGTTCATTTTTTTTTTGGTTCTGTTGCAGGAAAATCAATGTGTCACTCTCGAGAAGACAACTCCTCTCAAAGGACCAAGCTTCGTGTCTAACGGGCAACCCGGTTGACGATTGCTGGCGGTGCGACCCGAACTGGGCCGTGAACCGCCAGAAGCTGGCGGATTGCGGCATCGGGTTCGGGCGCAACGCCATGGGCGGAAAGGGCGGTCAGATCTACATCGTCACCGACTCCTCCGACAACGATCCGGTGAACCCCGTCCCCGGCACCCTCCGTCACGCCGTAATCCAAGACGTTCCCCTGTGGATCGTGTTCGCCGCCGACATGACCATAACCCTAAGACACGAGCTGATTTTCAACAGTTTCAAAACCGTCGACGGCCGCGGCGTCAATGTTCAGGTCACCGGCCACGGTTGCATAACGCTCCAGTATGTGTCGAATGTCATCATCCACAACATCCACGTGCACCATTGCAAGCCCTCGGGTAACACTAATATAAGGGCGAGTCCAACGCATGTAGGGTGGAGGGGCATATCGGACGGTGACGGGATATCAATCTTCAGCGCCCGGAACATCTGGATCGACCATTGCTCGCTGTCTTACTGCACGGACGGCTTGATCGATGCCATAATGGGGTCCACTGGGATAACAATATCTAACAACCATTTCGCACACCACGATGAGGTGATGCTGTTGGGCCACAACGATAACTACTTGCCCGATAAGGGTATGCAGGTTACGATTGCCTTCAATCACTTCGGTGAAGGGCTGGTGCAGCGTATGCCGCGGTGCAGACACGGTTATATACACGTCGTTAACAACGATTTCACTCAGTGGGAGATGTATGCTATCGGCGGCAGCGCTAGCCCCACCATTAACAGCCAGGGTAACCGTTACACTGCTCCCTCCGATCCTAATTCCAAAGAGGTAATTTTATTTTTTTATTTTTTTTATTTACTATTATTATTATTATTATTATTGTTTCTTTTCAGCCTTTTGAATTATTTGTATTTTGTCTTGGAAATGGAAATTGATATTATTCCTGGGTGTAGGGTCATTGTGGGTTTGTTTGTTTGACTACTGTTCCAAATGAATATATTCTATGCTTGCTGTAACATTTGCACTCGCAAGGGTGGCGCGTGAACTTGAGGCGCTAACTAACAGTGGGTTTTTTTGAAATGGCAGGTGACGAAGCGCGTGGATACGGAGGAGAATGAGTGGAGTGATTGGAATTGGAGGACGGAGGGGGATATAATGGTAAATGGAGCATTCTTCGTGCCTTCTGGTGCAGGGCTCGCTGCTCAGTATGCACAGGCCTCAAGTGTGCAACCCAAATCCGCCGAGCAAATTGACCTGCTCACCATGTACTCCGGAGTCTTCGGCGATCCCAGGTACCCACCCTCACCACCTACACTTATTCACTATTGCATAAGAGAGTTATCTTTCTGTTCTGTTACATAAGATTAATAAAGTCCATATTATAATTAGGGGTGTAAGTAGATTACATAGGCTGCCGAAAGTCCCATATCGCCTTACCTATATAAGCCAGTCGTAGCTGATCAGCTTCTTAATTGATCAGCTGATTACATATAGTCAAATGCCTGGATTTTTTTAAAATTTTATTTAAAAATAGAAAAAATATTTCTCGAATCACTTGGAATAAAGTCATCTGAGCTCAAAACGATATCGCTTTGGAATTATAAGATTAAAAAAAATTATAATGATAAAGAATAATATAATCCTGCAATATATTAAAATTATAAAAATATCTTAATTTCCGCTTTAAAACGATGTCGTTTTGGGTTCAATGGAAATAATTTATCTCCGTTGATTGGAGAAATCTTTTATCCTTAAAAAATATGTCGTAAGTTTTTTTTACATGTTGGGTTTATAAATTTACATGCCATCCTATATCTTATTATTTGTTTTAAATAAAATGAATAAAATTATTATATTAATAATTTTTAGACTTTAATATTTCTAAAGTGAACGTAGATAAGTAATTTATATTCGCTTCTAAAACGACATCGTTTTGGGTTGAAAAATTAAAAAATTATAATGAAAAAGATTATTATAACTCTGACATAAATTATAATTACAAAAACACTTTGATTTTCGCCTCAAAACAACTTCGTTTTGGGCTTAATGTAAATAAGTTATCAAATTTTAATCGTAGAAAAAGCGAACTCTAATTTTTAAACATTCAATAATTTTTTAATAAGTTTAAACAAGCTAAAAGTCCTTCGCCAAGACTTTTGTCTTTTAAATATAGATTAGACCTAAGGTATTTTACATAGGGCTAACCAGAATTTAATCTATTTACGGCCCTAATTATAATTATAATTGATAGATATTATTATTTCCTTGCCCTTTTGGTTCTCAAATAAAATAATCAGTCTTAAAGAAAATGCCCTAACAACGGACGTTACCTGTCTTCTTAATTGTCCTTAGAAAGGTTAATCTCGTCTTTTCAATATTTCTAATCGCCGTAAAGGTTACTTTCGTCTTTTCATTATAATTAAATTACGGAAATGTCCCTCCCTGCTGGCAACATGCCCCACACTTCTTTTATGAATGTTGAAGGACGCGGTAGTACAACACAATACCAACAACAACTATAGGATACAAATACAAGTTGTTCTGACAAGTTATTGTGGAAAGCTGTATGGAATATTGTTATTTTAATGTGCTCCCACCTTCACTTTCTTCCGCTGTTTCCTAAACTTCGGTTTATGCTAAATCTCACTTTCCAAGGTAACAGTGGGAGTGACATGACCTAGTTAGTATATGGAGTAAAACAAGATTGGGATTACCAATTCTGATTAATAATCTTACATGAATGATTTGGGAAATAGGGGGAAAGTGGGGCTTTTTCGCCAATGCCCGTGATGGTGAGGTCATTGGGAATCTCTAGCCTTATGGGCCAACAGGCAACAACAGCCTTGTTTACAGTTCATTTGTCTTTATTCATCTTTTTCTTGTAAAGTTAGGATGCACGATTATAAAATCTTTTTTCTTTTTCCTTGCGGGATATTTTTAAAGCAGAAAAGTTTGTTTTGATCCCCTCTGGATATGTTAGTTGGTACTGTTATTCTTGCCCTCCAACCCCATTGAATCCTCCTATAATCACTTGGAAAGAAGAGGTACCATAACCATAGACAAATTCTTACATTTTTTGCGGTGTATACGATAAATAAGCATTTGGAATCGAGATTCAGAAACTCCTCATTGAGCTGCTCCATTCATATCCGATAAATAGAATAGTAAGGAATAAAGTGGGAAGAACAACGGAAAAAAGAAAGGGCCGAAAAGGACTTGTATGTCCACATGAAAGAAGAGATGCATGTGTGTCAACAGGGGCCAGGGGGAGTATAGGTTGAAAACTAGGTTTGGAGAGTAGAGAATAAAAGAGAACGGCCCCACCACCAAGCACGCTATCAATTGGTAAATGGTTGTTCGAGTTTAACTAGTGATGTCGAGTTCGAATTCCTAGCAATGTAGAGGTGTTAAAATGTGATAGAGATATCTTTGTTGTAATTCCATCAGACTCAAATTGGACTAATATTAAAAAAAGGGTTTAACATTTTTTTTTAGTGTAGAAATTTTTTTTCCGACATATTCACATAAAAATAAGTAGGTTCCATTATAAAAAGAAAATAGAAAAAAAAAAAACCAGCCCACGTAAGATTTGGAGGGTCTGATGGGGAGATGACTGAAATTATATTCCTGATTATCTGCTTTCCAGCAAGTAAGCGTGGGACCTCTCATAGTATAATGTGTTTTTGAGCACATTTCTGATTCGACACAAACTAGTCACGACTCACCAACTAGAGCTACTCGATCAGAATTGGGAAAGGGACTCCCCCCTTATTAACACGCTCTTGCTGTCTCCCACCGTTAACCTTTTTATTTATTGCTGTTTAGTCCTTACATTTATTTATCTGGTTGTATACCATGCAACAACCATTCTCCAGTACAATTTTTGAAAACAGCTATTGATTTAAACAGAAGGATTACAATGGCCCTACACCTAAATTGAATTGTGAAGAATTATGGCTCTTGTTTAGCATAATTGCCCATTTCCCAGTCCCGGTCTACCCTCATTGCACTGGCAATCAACTTCTTACAACCCTCTATGGCCAAACTTAGCAATACTATATGTTTCTTAACTTTTTAAAGTGACTTCTCTTTATCAAATTTGAAACTACTACCTAAATTAATTTATTTCATATTTGACTTCTTTGCCTGAATTGTTGAATCTAGTCACACGTATATTTCTTTAACACAAGTGCATCTTATCTCCTGTTCTTTTCCATGTATGCTTTGACTCATTCTCACACGGTATTCATGATAAAGGCTATTCTTTCTTACGTCTGACATCCACTCATTCATTCCTACTCTCGTCGTTATATACACCTTTTAATTAATAGCAGCAATTAAGGCCGCAACAATCGAGCATTGACACTCTTGAAATGTACACTTACTCTGATGTGTTTATGACACAGGGGAGGCTAGTTCTCAGTTCTCACGCTGATTAACCATTTTGCTATTTTTAAAAAATTTATCATTTTGCTCCCTTTCCCAAGTTATATATCAATTTGACCATAGTTTCACTGATATTTACTTGACTGAGTTATTGGATTAGGATTCGATCAAAGGTGAATAGATTAATATATAATGAGGAAGATTATACTTACAATTTATTTTTTGTTTACAATCATATTTTAATCGTTGATTTTTGTTAATCAACAATTATTATTTTCATAAATTAAATTCATTAATTAATTAATAATTCACAATAAATAACAACTGTTGAATAAAAATAGGTCTTTAAGTATAAATTTTCTTATGTATAATTTGAAAAAAATGATAAATTAAAAAAATTCAAAGTAAAAGCCTAGTTCCCTGCCAAACCCAATACAATATTAATACTAGTCAAATTACCTGATATTTATCTTTCCTTCAAGTTGAAGCCAATATAAAAGATGATGATTTGATGTAGTGAAGGGTCTAATCAAGATATGTCCTATACATAATGTAGTCAAAACAAGAAATTTGTCCTTGTCTTTCCTTCAATTTGAAGTCAGTGTTTTTCTCTTTTATATTTCCTGATGTTAAAAATCAATGCTTTCATCATCATTGATCTTTTTTCAGTAGTTCTTCAATGTTTATCAAACAAAAAAGGGGTACTTTTTTGAGTGCTTATTACTCAATTATTGAATAGGGATAATGGGGATTTATATCCCGGTTTCAACGGAGGTGGGACCGTGACCGGAGCCTCCAGCAAGGGCCACAATGAGGGGTCCAGCGGCGACGATGGGGACTTCTTCGGGATGATATTCAGAGGTGGTAGCAGCCAAGCAGCACCACCATTACCCTCCTCATCCATTGTATTTGTTTCAGCTTTTTTGTCTCTTTTAATTATTTTCATTTTGGACACTATCACCAACCATGCTTTTCTATTATCATTATTATGATCATACAATTGGAAGTGGGAAAGGAAATTCCTTTGATACAGAGAAAAATTATCAAAAGGAAAAGAAAAGATTAAAGTTTCTATAATTTGTTTTTAAATTTAGAAATTAGAAATAGCATTTAGTTATGTACAGAGCTCTTAAAAACACAATCATAGCTGTATGAATTATCAAATTAAATAGTTAGGTGCAATATGAGTGGTCATAGCCTCAATTGTATAGTTGAATTCAGTTTGTTTTCTTATCATCCGAGTTGATATTATTATGCATACTCATTTTGAATTTGTGAACTTCGACCATTTTAATTCTATTGGCAGAAGTAGCACGGAGGTAAATGAGTAGAGTTAAGCTAGAATTTGGTATAAATAGGTTAAGTTTATATTGAATGTATTAAGCCTAATCTAGAATATTAGTTTAACAGTATTATTTTTCTCATGTAAGCAAATTTTTGATACAGTCAGTGTACCGAATTCGGTCACCTATTTACAAAAACGGGTAATTTTTTTTTTCACTTTAACCCTTGTTTTTTGTTTTTTGTTTTATATATTCTCCTTTATATCTTTTTAAACTTTTTTCATGTAGTAAACAGAGTGTACGAGTGCGGTACACTGTAATATTAAAAAAGGTTATGTTTATCTCATTTTACATGAGATAAACAATTTTCATACACACACAAAAGAGGGATGAGTTTCACCATTCTTTTTTTTCTCTCTCTTCTTACCTATGTATCTCACTTGTAATTTTATTTCTATAACATGAGGTAATTACTCTTCTACAACATAAGAAAAATATTTTCCATTAAAAAAATATCCCTCGTGTACATATAAACTACAAAGTGCAATGTGGGTCTCGTTAAATGGAGGAGAGATAAAAACACAAAGTGAAACCTACATTGCACTTTGTGTGTACATGAAATGATTTCTCTCTCATATAACATTTGGAAAATAATATCCTTAGTTTAATGTAGGTTAAATTATAGTCGACCTAGCATGATCTATACTAAAAAAGTTATTTTTTCAGCAGTTACTGTAGATAAGTTATCTGCAGTAAACTCAATATGACGTCGTTTTGAGACGGAAATCATGATATTTTTGTAATTTTAATTTATTTCAGGATTATTATACTCTCTATAATTATAATTTTCTAATCTTTCAATTCCAAAACGACGTCGTTTAGAAGTAAATGCAGATAACTTATCTGCATTAACTATAGAAATATTTTTCTGATTAAAAAAAATAAAAAGTTCGGTCTAAACCTATTTATCTGTTTAAGTTTATCAAGAATTATAAAAAATTATATAAAATAATATTTTTTATCAATTAGAATGATTTAAAAAATTATTTTAATTTATTTTCATAAAATTGTATGTCAGGTTTTAATGTTTTATACATGTAGGCCTATAAATAAGTTTTTTTTAAGACCCAAATTTGTTCTATCTTATTAACTGTATTAGGTTAAATGTGACTTGATATAAGCCGGTCGTGGGCCCTTAATAAACTACCTGACTCATTTAGGCACACACTCATTTTCTAGTTTCTACAATATTTGAATGATTGGTAATACAAGTACAGCCTCTCAAGATTACTAAATAAAAAAGAAATTCCCTTTTAAGGATTGAATGTTTTGCAATGTATCACTCACCGTATAGATTTAAATTTAATAAAATGATACCATTTGGGGACAAAACGAAGAAGGTTCGATTGCATGAATAATATGCACAATATTGCAGAGTTGGAAATTCTTACATTAACTGGGGAAAGAAAAAATTTTAACATACCAATACGACCACATAATTTTGTAAATTTAAAGACTTCACGAATCCATCATAATGACACGAGAATTCTTATGGGTGCTTATTATATATTATTTCATATATAATAATTATCAATAATGTTATACGTATAAAATTTGTCGCACAACTGTCTTCACTGGTATTTTTTTTGTTTTTCATTCGTCAATATTAAATTATTAATGGTGCATACTTTCCTGATGTGAGCGCATATTATGTGCAAGTACAACTAACATTGCTCATCAATTATATACATGTACTTGCAATTGCTTTATTCTAACATGTAATTAAATACAACTTGGTGGCTCTATTTGTGGGGTCTTCGACTTATGGTTGTTGGTGTGTGCTTTTATCTCACCTGTATTAGTCTACAGACTACACTGCAACAATCGAAAATTGTATACTCATACCCCAAACAAGTGGCATCATCTTTGTCAGTTATGAAATTGGTGCAACAACTTTGAGTTGTTTTATGATTTTGTCTTGGCCTTTCTAATGTATTATTAGTACTTTCTGATTGGGTCTTTTCCAAATCTAACTTTGGGGTTAATATTTGGAGGTTCCACTTTCATAGAAAAATATCCTTTTAGCTAACCCTTTCCCCATTTGATCTGAAAACAATGGAAGAGAAAAGCAAGGAGAAGATATGATACGAGTGGATGAAATGATATTTCTGATGCCATGTCAACTTCAGAGCCCTCTATTTAATTTTAGTGTTCTTTTTTCCTACGTGATAATGAAGTGTTTAACATGGGTTGTCTCCATATCAGAAAGAACTTGTCAAACCGTCCAATGTTAAAGACTCTTCCTATCTGCTTGTCCATATCTTCACACTTTATTATTATTTTTATTAGATCAAAATAATAATAACTATTATTATTCTATCATAGGGATAGAGATGTCTAGTAGCTATAACTAAAAAGATTTATATCATTAAACAAGGGGTTCATTTTTTCTGCAGTCGATGTAAATAGATAAGTTATCTACATTGAATCCAAAACGATGTCGATTTGAGACGAAAATCAAAGTATTTTTGTAATTATAATTTATTTTAGGGTTTTAATTATCTTTCTTATTATAATTTTTTAATTCAAAATAACATCGTTTTGAGAATAAATATAAATAATTTATCTACATTCACTGTAGAAATACTCTACTTGAAAAGTAAAAATGGAAAAATCGATGCTCACACCTAAGGGCCCAAAAGTTGGCAAAGTATTCTTCAAACAGTTAAATGAGAAAAAGTGTATAAATTTTGGAATTTAAGTCTAAAAATTAAATATAAAGCTAATTTTGTTGTATGATAGGTTTGTCTCACCAAAAGAAGAAACGGTTACATCTTCAGTTTCTACAAATATGGGAACAAACTTATCGAATTGCAACAACACTAGGGTTCATATTTAATTTCATCTTTTGATAATTTCACTGTGCTTGTTCTCTTAGGTTGTTCTTTATTTTTAATACATTTTTATACAGTGTAAACAGTACTTTTGCAACAAGCCACCCTAGGTTTAAGAAAAGCTGTTAAAAGTCATGTAACGAAAACAATTTAAAAAGGCTGTTAAAAGTCATTTGCATTAACCCGACAAAGAACAAAATAAGACCCACTTCTTTGGCTGCAGAACTCTACTAAAAAGAAGACCAACTTTTATGATTGTAACTATAAATTTATTAACGTTTTTAAAATCAAACTAATATAGATGTGGCACAGGTAATAATTTTAGTTAATTAACCGTAGTCAAATAAGTGATATATATTTTAACTCCGGTTTAAGAACAAAAGTCTTATTTTTTATTTTAACAATTGATTCTGGTGTGTCTTATTTATGGGTATGATTTATTGAATTATACATATTAATTAATTATTAATTTTTAATAAATTACAGCTGTCAAATACACAAAGATCAAGATTGAGATGAAGAGTAAGATTTTTTATTCTTATACTAGAGTCAAAAGGTCCTTCCACAAAACACGAGATAAGATTCTTTGACACCAGTATGAAACTTTAAAATTTGACATCAAATCCTAACTATTGATTTCGGTCAATCAAAGATTATCATTTATTGGGAATTAATAATTAATTAATGGGTTTAGTTGGCGAAAATTATAATCGTTGATTGACAAAAATCAACGGTTATGATTTAGTGTCAAATTTCAAAGTTTGACACTTTTTCTGAGAGCCGTTAGATACAAAAAGATCAACGACTCTGATTTGTAAGCATGTGACACCATCGATATTTTTTCATCTAACGGCTCTCAGATGAGGTGTCAAATTTAAAATTTGACACTGGTGTCAAAGGATCCTACCTCATATATATATATATATATATATATATATATATATATATATATATATATATATATATATATATACCATAAGAAATTAAGTTATGTAAATTTTTTAAATTATCATAAAAAAGATAATGTTCTAGGTGAAAAAAATCAAACCAATAATAATAATTTAGCAAACGAGTAAAACACATAAAGGATAATGGTCGTGTTACTTATGGTGTGCATGACAACCATTCTGTTCCTTAACACTGTTTGTGAAAAGAAACAATTCTTCTCTATTTTTGTGCCTTGACATAGTTTTTGAGAAAAAAAAATGTGTTTGATAACATTTTCTATTTTTATTCCGAGATTGAAAATTGCATTTGATAATACAACAAATAATATAATAAAAAATAATTTCTGTTAAGCATAATTTTTTTTTCTTCAGATTATCACTTTCCTTTCCATTTAGTGTGGTGGTGGTAGAGGTGGTGGAGGTGGTGGTGGTGACAGCAGTGGCTGCGGCGATGATGATGGTAGTGGTGATAATGACATGGTGGTGGAACTGGTGGTGACGACAGTGACTGCAACGATGTTGGTAGTGGTGATGGTGGCAGTAGTGGCAGCGATGGTGGTTGTGGCATGGTGGTGGTGATGATGACGATGACATGGTGGTGGTGATTGGTGACGGTGATGGTGGTAGTGGTGGTGGTGAAGGTGGCAGTAGCATGGTGATAGTGATGTGGCAATTGGTGGAGGTGGTGGTGACGACGATGATGGTGACAGTGGTCGTGTGTCGAGATGATGGTGGTAGAGAGTGATTAAGGGAGACATGTGTTTCTCATTTTGTGCTCGGGAATAAATAAACAAAAAAATTTGATTTTTTTCTATTCCCCAGTACAAAAATTAAACCAGTTCTTCCCGAGAATAAAAAAAATAAAACGATTTTACCAAACGAGTTTTCTATGATTTTTGTTTCTAGGACCAAAAATTAATTTCGTAAATGTTGTCATGCACACTGTTTCAAAGTCACACATTCCAGCATTTGACTAAAAAAAAGTGAGTTTTTATTTATTTTCTAAAAAAAGTGAGTTTTTGTAAGAAAATATTCTTGCATGTTTAGCTGGATTTTGATTCAAAATATTCTTGGTTGACTTAAATAAGAAAAAGCTACAAATCCTTTTAACATCTTTATTTACAGTTTTTTTTGCATGTTTAGCTGGATTTTGATTGTCGTTGGACATTCGATTTTGTGTGTTGATTAGATCATACATCTAACCATTTTGCTGGGTGTGTAAATAGGTTAGGTTAGACTTAAACTTGAATAAGTTACGTCTATGTAAAAAATATTAGATATGGCCTAACCTGTTAACTTGTGTAGGCCTCAAATTACAAGTCTGATTAATTTATATTTAAAAATATAAAATTTTTAGCCTAGACCTGTTAACGTGTTTAAGCCTATTAAACATTCAACAATTAAAAAAATAACTAAAATAATATTACTTTATTGGTTCACTTTTTCTACCGTCAATATAGATAAGTTATTTACATTGAGCTCAAAACGACATCATTTTGAGGCAGAAATCACGTTATTTTTGTAATTATAATGTATTGCAGGGTTATAATAATCTTTTTCATTTTAATTTTTTAAATTAAAACTCAAAACGACGTCATTTTGGGAGCGAATGTAGATAACTCATCTACATTCACTGTAAAAATATTAAAGCCTTACTTTATTATTCAAAATTATTAAAATAATAATTTTATTTATTTAAAAATGATAAATAATATGATATAGGCCGACATGTACAAGAAAGTCTATGACCTGTTTTTTAAATAAGTTTTTTTAAAAGCCTAGGCGTGTTCTATTTTACTATTTGTAATAGGTCAAGTCTGACGTAATATAGGATAGGTCATAGGTCCCTATAGGATAATCTAACTCATTTACACCCCTACTTCCCATGTTATCCGGTCCAATTTTTTTCAATCATGAAATTTGCTGATATGTACAGTTTAAATACAATCCTTCCATTATCTCTTATAAACCGTCGCAATAGTGTTATGAGTGTGTTTGGATGGCCTTATAAAAAAAATTACTTTTATGTCATGTTTATTTTAAAAGTGTTTTTTTATAAAAGTTAAAATTATTTAGATTTTTAAAAAATATTTAGTTTTTGAAAAAAAAAATTGACTTTTGACTTTTACTTTTTTGAGAAGCTAAAATTTTCAGCTTCTGAAAAAAATAAATTTTTGATTTTTTTTTATAACTTCTGTTTTTTTTTTTAAATACGCATCCAAATACACTTTAATAAAAATACTTTAAAAAAAAAAAAAAACTTTTGATTGAAAAATAGGTGAGCTTCACACGCGACCTATTATGTGTCAATTTTTTCGTTTTATTTCTCATTATATTGCATTGCGCATTCTTTGTTGGACAGAGTCGGGACCACATGTTGGATGGTATGTTTTCCAAAATTTAGGTATTATAACACTGGCTTTTAGTTTGAGAGCCGCTACGAAAATAGAATAACTTAAATTAATGTTGTACGAGCAAATGAAAAGTCCTTGATTTTGTCCTTTTAATGTATAACAACTAACATACTATTAATGATGTGGAATCCAGACATACAACCATGTGATTTGGGGGAAATATTTTTAGTCATGTATTTCAAAAAAGATATAATTATAATATTAAAATTATTTTTTTCTTTCTTCTTAGAAATATATTATAACTATATACTTATCAGAGTACATAATACATAATTATAATAGTACCATCGCATACTCACTATAACAGTTACACTCAAAATGCTCTCATGATTTGGAGGGTATAATAAGATTTTGAATATTAGATAAGCTAGTATTTCTGTTCTCTTCTAACCATAATACTAAACAGAATTAAAACCAAACGGAATTTACGGTCCTGGATTTGATTCATACAAATTGTAAACTCTCCCTATGGCTTGTGTCATGCCCAACCATGGAACGAGAAAACTTCATCTGAAAATTGGTTCACCAAAAAGCAATGATCAAAAGCACCATTTCCCCCTTCATTGGACAAATGCGGAACGTTAAATGACAACTTCATTGAAGGAAAATAGAAGTTTGTATTTACAATTAACACAAGATATTGGATATAAAGAATGAACCAAAAAACAAGGAGGTAATAGATCAAAAGAAACACTGAAAACCTTGTTCAGTAAGAAACAGGACTCACAAGCTTGTCAATTTGCACATCCTGTTCACCACACCTTGTAATTAACATAAAATTATAATTTCTTCCTTTCCAACATACGTCATGCAGTAATGCAGCCGTGTTGTAACCTCAATATAGGAAGAAATTTCTGCACAACAACCAATGTGAAAAGAAAAGTTGCGGCCCCAATTTATCAGTTAACCAAAACCATATCATCCCTCACGGCTTGTGCAGCCACTGCTTCCAATTTCTTCCATGTTAACTCTCTCTTCTCTTCCAATTCTCTAGCCCTTGCTTCCTTCTCTAAGTACTGGTTTTGACACTCTTCAAACAGTTCGGCATCCATCTCCAAAAACATCTTCCTCACATTGGCTGTTAGCCCATGCACTGCTCGGTTCCAATGGCTATTCATGTTCTTTTCCAGAGCTTCAAAGATTACTGGCAATATAACATTTCGATTCTGAGCCACTAAACTTATAATGTGCTCATTGTTCCACAAGTAAAGTGCTCGTTCAGCAACCTGCCATGGATACAACAATTGTCAGAGAGAGCAGTCAAGAGAAATGAAGACACATTTTCCTTTACTACTGTCAAAGGATGGGATTTATCTTTTATCAAAAATTGATATTATATATAATATAATCTGACCACCTCAATGCATAACCAATCAAACTAGTAGGTCCAAATTCAAAAGACCCTAAATTCAACTTGGTTTTCCGCAGGCCTGCTAACCACGCGCCCAATCATTTTAGATTACAAAAAGCAAGATATTACAATCTTAACTACCATCCCCATGAGTGAGAAACAAGATTTCAAATGTCAGCCAAATTTTAGTAAGAAATAGCAGCCAACTAAAGCCAAAAAATGACAGCTAAGGCCAAATAATATTGAGCATAGTATTTCCCCAGTAAAGCTGCTAAAAAATGACAGGAACTAAGCTCAATCAAACTAAGCGAGAAATAGCAGCCAACTAAAGCCAAACTAAGCTCATGTCATAAAGCTGCCAAAAAATGTTCAGCCTATATTCCAGGAACCGATGAACCAAAAAATGAAAAGAACAAGTAGAGGCAATGTTGCTGTACTTTTTCTTAATCTCCCTCATTCATTGATAATAATAATATGCTATTGTTTTTATGTGCGTGATGTGCGTGTTCTCACATGATTTTTAACAACAAAGGACTCTCAAATATATAGATGTAACATAGTATCATAAGCTTCTATGCATTAGCGTCCCAAGTGGGATTGGAACTGAACTGAACACACACTCTATCTGTAGTGCTCTCTCCACTCTAGATCCCATCCATATTATATCCCTTTCCTGCTCCCTTCTCCCTCCACCACTCTTCTTTCCAAAAATGTGCGACTATTTCCACCTGCTTTTGCAATTTTTCCTCTACATTAAATGTAAACCCAAATGCCAGCAATCGGCATCAGATATACTTGTCAGAAGTATTGTCTTTTCTTTTTCTTTTTTTGTACATGAAGTATTATCTTTTCTTAGCTAGAGTGCTAGACTCAAATGAAGTTGCACTTTCCTAAGCAAAAAAATTAAGTACGCAGACATTAAACCAAAAGAAAAATATATATACCAAATTCGAATATTTCTGTCTACAACGTATTTACTTTCCTTTTCTAGGATTGTTAAGGTAAGAGGACAAAAAGCATGAAAAGTGCCGAATAACATGAAAACAAAAGGCATATATTTAAAGGGATTTATTAGTCTCCTTTCACATTGTGAGCAATGAAGAGAGAGAGAGAAAATACTTGAAGGAAATTGTAATTGAATAATTCTCTTGTGTATTGAAATGTCAAATGTAACTTGATTACAATAGACTACAGATCCATATATATGTATGGATCCTATTCTATCCTATTCTATGGGCCTATCTTATCCAATGGGCCTTATTCTAATCAATGGGCCTTGTATGGCTATTACCCCCCTTTAAGCTGAAGTGTGGTTTGGAGCTCCAACACATGAAGCTTAAATTTGAAATTAAGAAAGTTGGGCCTTGACAAGGGCTTGGTGAGCCCATCTGCTATTTGGTCCACCGCAGGGATGTGATGAACGGAGACTGCCTTGCTGACCACCTGTTCACGGACGAAATGTAGATCTAGGTCAAAATGTTTTGTGCACGAATGAAACACAGGGTTGGCTGATAGTTGAACCGTGGAGAGATTATCACAATAAATGGTTGGGGATTGCGGAAGAGTGACTTTAATTTCTAAAAGCAGTGATTTTGTCCATGAAAGTTTTGCAATGGTGGATGCAAGAGAATGATACTCCGCTTCAGTGCTTGATCGACTGACCACCGTTTGCTTTTTCGAGGACCAGTTGATGAGATTAGAGCCAAAGAAAATGCAGATTCCGCTTGTTGATCGTCTGTCATCAAGATCGGAGGCCCAATCAGAGTCACAATACGCGGTGAGGTGGAAATTTTCTGATGGATGTCTGGTGAGGCCATGTGAGGTGGTGCCATTGAGATATCGGAGAATACGTTTTACGGCTTTCCAGTGGGTGTCAAGGGGGTGGTGTATTGACAGACCTTATTGACACTGAAGGTGATATCTGGGCAGGTTATGGTGGCATATTGGAGGGCTCCTACTATGGAGCGATACTGTGTGGGGTTAGGATGTGTGGATCCATCAGTGGAGGTGAGTTTCATGCTGGAGGCCATGGGAGAAGGAACAGGTTTGCAGTTATCCATTTTTGCTCTCTGTATAAGATCTTGTATATATTTGGTTTGATGAAGATGGTATCCTCCTGTAGTGGTCTTAGTGGCCTCAATTCCTAGAAAGTAGTGTAGTTGACCTAGGTCTTTGAGGGCAAATTTGGTGTGGAGAGACTGAATGATGTTTGTAATCACTGTTGAGGATGAACCTGTTATGAGGATATCATCGACATAAACTAAGATGAAAGTGATACTGGTGTGAGTGATAGATATGAACAGTGAAGAGTCACATTTGGCAGTAGTGAAACTAAGAATGTGTAAGGTGTTACTAAGTTTCTGGAACCAGGCCCTTGATGCTTGTTTGAGTCCATATAGGGCCTTTGTTAGGTGACACACAGGGTTTTGTCCGTGTGAACAAATCCTGGTGGTTGTTGCATGAAGACTTCTTCGTGTAAATCACCGTTTAAAAAGGCGTTGTTGACATCTAGTTGGTGTATGGGCCATCCTTTGGAGAGGGCAACAGAGATGATGATCCGAATGGTGACTGGTTTGACTACAGGGCTGAAAGTTTCCTGATAGTCAAAACCCTCTTGTTGATGAAATCCCTTGGCTACTAATCGAGCCTTGTATTTAAGAATCGAACCATCTGGATTGTATTTAGTGCGGAAAATCCATTTGCAGCCAATTGGAGTTCTGTCTGGTGGTAGGGGAACAAGTTTCCATGTGTTATTGTTGAGAAGAGCATTATATTCATCTGTCATAGCTTGGAGCCAGTGGGGTTGGGTCATGGCTTGTGTGGCAGTGGTGGGTTCAAGGTTGGTTGTGTAGGCTTGTGTTTGAAAATCCCTGCTTTGGCTCTTGTAATCATGGGATGAACTGAAATAGTGGTGGGATCAGATTGTGGGAAAGATGTGTTGGGGGATCTGTGTTGGGCAGTGTGTGGTGTAGTGAGAGGGGAGGTAGGAGGAGTTGCAATAATAGGTGGAGTGGTATCAATAGGAATGGTGGGTATAGTAGGGGTAGATGATTGAGTAGATGAATGAGTTGAGATGGGTGTGGTATTTTTGCTGTAAGGAAAGTCAACCTCATCAAAGAGGACATGTCTGGCTATGATGAGTTGGTTACTGGGGCTGAGGCATTTGTAGCCTTTATGTTTGGTGCTGTAGCCAATGAAAGTACATTTGGTGGATCTGAAATCAATTTTGTTTTTATTGTATGGTCGTAGGTAAAGGTAGCAAACACATCCAAATGTTTTGAGAAAATGGTGGTCAGGTGATTTGTGAAAAAGAGTTTCGTAGGGTGATTGATTTTGTAATGTGGGGGTAGGTAGTTGGTTGATGGTGAAAGTTGCAGTGAGAAAAGTATCTTCCCAAAATTTAGTGGGAAGGTGAGAGTGAGCAAGAATAGCTAACCCTGTTTCAACTATATGCCTGTGTTTCCTTTCAGGTTTCCCATTTTGTTGATGGGTATAAGGGCAAGACAGCCTATGGATGATTCCTTGCTCTTGAAGGTAAGGACCAAACTTGAGATATTCCTTGGCATTGTCTGTCTGTAAGCTTCTGACCTTTGTATTTAATTGTAGTTCTGCCATGGTCTTAAATTGTAAGATGTTGAAAGCCTGTGATTTGTTGGTCATGGGATAGATCCAAGAGTAGTTGGAGTAGGCATCAACAAAGAGGATGTAGTAGCGTGCTCCTGAAGTGCTTTCAATGGGAGCTGGTCCCCATATATCTGAGAGAATAAGTTCTAAAGGAGAAGAATATATTGTAGCAGTAATAGGTAACTGTAATTGATGCATTTTGGCCATGCAACATGCTAAACATAGATTGAAATCTGTTTTATTTATAAAAGGAATGTTGCATTTTCTAAGTACGGATTTTACAATAGGAAAAGCAGCATGTGCTAAACGTTGGTGCCAAAGATTTAAACTGATAGTGTTAGTAGTGTGATTACAAGTAATAGTGTTGTGTGTATCTAAATGTGCAGGTGTAATAGCTAAATTGGAGATGTTAGCTTGCTTGGACAGATTAGTTCCATCAAAGACATAGAGCCCATTTTCAATTCTGCCTTGGAGAAGGATCTCCTGAGTAGCCTGTGATTTGATGCAGCAATTGTTAGCATGAAATTCAAAATAGACATCATGGTCATTGGCAAATTGGGACACACTTAATAGATTCTTTGTCAAACCAGGAACATGAAGAAGGTTAGTAAGAGTAAATCTTAATGAATTGACATTTGAATGAAGAAAAGAATAACCTGTGTTTTGTATTTTCAGGTTTGAACCATTACCAACTTGCACCGAGTCTTGGCCAGAATAAGGAGTCTTGTTGATTAAATTGTTGGAGTCTGGAGTAAAGTGATTGGTTGAGCCAGAATCTGGGTACCAATTGGAATCTGTTGTAGAGAAGAAATCAGAGGAGTTGTCTTCATCATGTTGTCTGGGGCCAGGGTATTTGGTGACAGTCATGTTGGCTTGAAGATTGGAGTTATTGTTGTTGATGCTGTTGGTTTGAGGGAAAGGATTTTGATAATTCTGATTGTACCGGTGAAAGCATTCCCATGCTTGATGACCTGGCTTGCCACAGACTTGACAGGAAGGGCGATTGGTGGTATTGCGTCCTCCTGCTCCTCTTGTGAATCTTCCTCTAGTGTATCTTCCACCTCTGTTTGAAGGAAAGTTGCCTCTGTTGAAGTTAGAGGGGTTGTAAGGTTTGCGAAATTGCATTTGGGCCATATTGGCTTGTAGAGTTGTGGTTTCACGAACTCTGTCTCTCAATACGTTGTTCTTGAGCCATGAGGAGGGCTTCAATTTCTCCTACTGTATAGGCATCAGTTCTTGAAGTGATGGAGGTGACAAAATTGTCATAGTCTTCATTAAGGCCATCCAAGATAGCTTCAATGTGATCTTCGGTGCTTATGGGTGATCCAGTTGCTGCTAAAGAATCAATAATCTTTTTAATCTGAAGTAGGTATGTTGATGCTGGTCCTTTTCGGCTGGTTTTCAATTGAGTTTTCAACTGTTTGATACGGGCTCTAGTGTGTGATGTGAAGAACTCTTCTAGTTTTGTCCAGATTTGAAAGGAAGTTTGGCAGCACACCATTCTTGTGTAGACTGTTTCGGACATAGAGGACAGTAGCCAAGATAATAGCAGTTGATCTTGTTGTATTTCGATGGATCTTGAGGTTTCTTGATCAACATTAGTGTCTTTGTCCATTGATTCTTTTTCTTTTTCTGAAGTTGTTGATGAGCTTTCTTTTGTTGTAGGTTTCGTTGGAAGTTCCTCAGCAATGAAGCGATCAAGATTATAGCCTCTGATGGTGGCAAGAGCCTGTTGTTTCCAGGGCAAAAAGTTGTCTTCATCGAGTTTGAATGAGACTGGGTTGGAGAAAGATTGAACTAAGGTTTGAGTGCGTGATTTGGCCATGGATCTTTTAGCTCTGTGATACCATGTGAGAAATGAAGAGAGAGAGAGAAAATACTTGAAGGAAATTGTAATTGAATAATTATCGTGTATTGAAATGTCAAATGTAACTTGATTACAATAGACTACAGATCCATATATATGTATGGATCCTATTCTATGGGCCTATCTTATCCAATGGGCCTTATTCTAATCAATGGGCCTTGTATGGCTATTACACATAAGATAATTATCTTATGTTGTAGAGAGAAAATGGATGGATTCCACAATTACAAGAAAAAAAAAAGTGAGGTGCGAAAATCAAAGTGAGAGATCATAAGAGAAATTATCTTATGTAAAAGGAGAGTAATATTTCCCATATTTAAATTCGTGTGTTACAGTAGTACAGTGGAAACTATTATATATAGCGACTATTACCGTTATATGACTAATGTCTAATACAAACATGTGATACTGGAAACCTTCATGGCAGAGAGAAGATGGTATTTCTATGATAACATGCTAAATAACATGGAAACAAAAGACAATTGTTTTAAATCTGTGTATTACAATAGCAGAGTGGATGCTTTATTATATAGTGACTATAACAATGCATAAGTCTAATATAACGATGTGTCACTTCTTAACAACCTATTTAGAACACTTCTAACAAAAAGCTTCCCGACCAAAGTTTCATAAGGAAAAGACAGTAGGCAATGATAATCATTCCAACATCCAAGCAACCATACAAAAGCCCACTCACGTATATTGTCCAATGATAATAGAAAAGATGGATATATTACATGATGAATTAGATTTTAGAGTATAAGTAATCTCAGGCAAAAGCAAACAGTTCTCTTAAGCTACGAATATCCTATCCGTAAATGCATATATATATATATATATATATATATATATATATATATATATATAAACCATCATTTTGGTATACTAAAAGCTGCATATGCAAAGTAGAGCTAATGAAAATAAGTTACTGTGGTCAACAGACCTGAAAGTGAGGGCTGTTAAGGCAGCGCCCGATCTGCCTGAAAAGAGAGACCATGCACCGTAGAAATTCAGCAGGTTGAGTTGCCTCCAGAACCTCTTCTAGTTCTCCAAGAAAAAGAACTTCCTTATGGCAATTTGTGACGGGCCAGTACTTCAACAGTCCCCTGATCACAGGATCTGCCAACCTGTTGTCTTTCTCAACAAACTGAACAACGCAATAAGACAATTGTTGATGATATGAGGAAATGGATTTAGGCTTGTGAAGTGGTATAAGAGCACGGATTAGGAACAGCTTATGCTCCTCTTTCATTGGCAATGCAAATCCATTTATGATACTGCCCAGGATCTCCAGCAACTCAGCTACACCATTATGTCTCTGTGTTTCAAATATAAACCGATAGAATATATTGTTGATAGCTTTCCTTATGAAAGGCCTGTGCACCATGAACTTGCCATAAATCCGGTGAAGAATTGTCTTCAAATACTCGCGCTCGCGCTGGTCCTCGGAATCAAACAAGTCAAGAAGTTTCAAAACAAATACATGATCAATGTAGCGCTTGGAAGTCTTTATATCGGTCTCAGATGCCACAATGTACCTCAACAGAATTTCATACACAAGCTGCAAATGTGGCCAAGAAGGATCCATATATGTGTCGTCATCTTCAGGATCCATGGTTTCAGTCCCTGTATTCTCATGGGATGCTGGAGGCAAACAACGGAAAATGTTAACAGACACCATCGCAATAAGCTCTTCTTGATAATCGCCGAATCCGAAGGACCCCGATTGTATAATATCAACAAGCTCGTAAAGTGTTTGGCGTTTGATTTCCTTTTCATAAACGGACTTGAGAGTGTCTGAAAAATCGCACAAGAAGCAACACAGTTGAATTTTTTGCAGAAACAAAGTTGGACGTTCTGAAACAGCAACTTCGTGCAGTGGTGGCAGTGGTTTGATTACGGTGGGATTGGGTGGCGCCACCGCACGAGGCGAGTTTTGGGGCTCTGAATTGGCGGTGGCTGCACGAGACGCATGCTTCACAACTACTTCGTAAAATTGATATCCGTTTGCAGAATTTTCATTGAATGCCGATTTTGCTGATTTCTTGTGGGCACGCTTAATGATCTTGTTGAACATTTTCGAGAAATTAGAAGCATATAACACCAGAATTTGGTTGAACCAGGGATTTCTGGGAATAAATCTTACACCGATAAAAAAAACCCTAGAAATTGGAAGAATGTTTGAAAGTGAAAAACACAAGAGAAATACATAAATGGGAATGGGAATGGATGCGGACTTTGAATTCACAAACCCAAAGCCTTAATCGCGCGGCTTCTGAGTTGGATTCGGGAGAAACGCCCAATCATCCAACACGTAATCGACGAAGCGCAAAATGACTCGCATCCAAGGCGTCCTTCAGTGACATAAATAAAATGAGCAAAAAGTGGAAAATTTGTAAAGGGGAAATAGGATGTTTAGCTGTTTGGGACGCGAGAAAATTCAAAGACAGATAGAAAATTGGAGTCATTAATGAAATCAAAGAAGATTATTATGGCCCAAAATGGTTATCGTGCCCAAAAATTACTACTACCCAAAACACAATATTAGAGCCAAAAAAAATTATTATAAGTGAAAAATTGTTAAAATTGTGCATAAAATCAATACTCTTTTCGATGTCACGTGCAGAAGATCAATTTATGAAAAATAAAAATTAGTTAATATTTTTTAATACACAGAAACTGTAAACGCCAAAAGTACCAATAATTTAAAAACAGGGAAGGATATATTTACGACCTATTTTTCTTTATAACCTCTTACAACTCATATCTTAACCGTTAATTTTCGTTAATCAACGGTTAAGATTTATTGCGAATTAATAATTAATTAATAAATTTAATTGCCAAAAATCTTAACCGTTAATTGACGAAAATCAACGGTTAAGATATAGATTGTAAGAGATTGTAAAGTAAAATAGGTTGTAAGTATAACATTCTCCTTTAAAAATACCACATGCTTATATTGTAAATGATTTAAAACATTTTTGCTTTTTATTCTTTCTGAAATCTGCCAAAAGTAACAATTAAGCTTTTGTTTTGGTACTTCAAAATATCTTTAACCTTTCAATATTGTCAAACATCCAATAGCTTGCTGCAAACTCGTTGGTAAAGTCAATATTTATATACAATAGTTATGTATTTGGATATGCCAAAAAGTATATATTGACACAGGGAAATACATCCCTCCTTTAAACAAAAATTAAAAAATAAAGGAAATGCTTACACACTTATCGATAAGTCAGCAGGAATATGGTTTTGTTTTGTTGTTAAAGGAGGAATGTATTCCCCGTTGACATATTTGGTTACTTTTATTATATTGCAATGAACAAAAAAGAAATTTTGTTAAAATTCAAAACACTGAACATCATAAACTTAAAAATCATAAGAATTAATAAAATGTTTTGGGTATGTTGTAAAGTTCAAGTTGTCTTAGAGAGCTTAAGTAATAAAATGTCAAATTATGAAATTTTGTTTAAAATAAAAACTCAGAACATTATATTAGTGAAATGTTTTGGCCTTTGGGCATGTACACTTCCAAATAACTTAATTCTAGCAACACTACAGAAGCTCAACAACGTTTGATATAGTAGAAAAAAAATTTATCCAATAAATACAATTTTTGAAAATATGACAAAAATGTGAATTTTTCAAAAATATTATCAAAAAATTATTTGATAAGCCAAAATATTCCTGATACTATATTTGATTATTTTTTTCTAAAAAATTAATCCATATTTTCCCATCATCTCGAATTCTTGAAATACCAAACTCTAGATAATATTTTTCGGTGATATTTTGATTTAAAAAATATACACAACGGAATCCCGAAAAAATAACTTTTCCAAAAAAAATTCTCCAATATACTACCAAACAGATTCTAAAAAACCCACCCTCACTTTCCTAAACATCTAAAAATAATCCACCTACCAAACATCCCCTTGGCAAAATTCTATTGCAATTTCAGAACATAAAGAAATAAAATAGATTCTAAGCATCCATCAACTAACCCTAAAAACAAATTATACATTTTTAGCTACCTCATTACAGCATTCACTTCATAGAACACAATGCAACATAAGTACATAGGAACACACCACGACGCATCCAATTTCAGATAAGCATATTTCTTAGCATTCATTACATAACACGGCAGAAAGGATTTGTCATTCAAAAGATCTGTTTACAGTAATTTAATAGTTAAAAATAATAAAACATAAAATTCCAGCAGACAGATTTGTGCCGATTTGCAAAAAAAAAAAAAAAAAGTTTGCCATTAGTAATTTACAAACGCCTGATTTCCTTCTTTTGTCCATCTAGCACGTTCTAGAAATTACCATCCACCTTTGTTACCCCCGTCAGTACTCTTGCTCCACGAACCTGCTGCACCTATATATTATGAATCAGTCATAGGTTTACGAATTATGCTGAGAATAAATCTGGTATTTGTAAATTGTAATAATAAAATATTAGATTAATGATACTGTGATTTGCAGATGAACTTTTAATTAATAATGATACTTGAATGAAAATTAAAATCATTCATCTGCATTGTAACTTTATTTTTCTTTTGAAAATACCACAGGTTGTTTTTAAAAATCAAAAAGGAAGGATAATTGGGTGCACATATATCTGGTTCATTATTTCTTCCTTACCATCTGCTGATTCACTCGAAATAGATGATTGACCCTTATCTGCAGCACTTGATTGACCCCAATTCGGAACTCGGTCTCCAGTTCCACCACTTCCACCCTCCTGAATATTGGTCTCTTCAATTGCACCAGATTTTTTCCAGCTAGAACCCTGGTCCCCATGGGAAGTCCAGCCAGCACCATCTTTAGCCTCTGCGGTCTGTTTTGACCCATTGCTGTTCCAATTATCAGTGGCTCCACCACTTGCTGAACTCCCACCCTGCCATTGCTTATTAGTTCCACCTCCTTGGTTCCAGCTTGGACGTTCCTTATTTGCATTTCCCTGGCTCCAGCTCTGCCCATCTATGTCACCAGTTTTAGCCTCTGCAGTCTGTTTTGATCCATTGCTGTTCCAATTATCAGTGGCTCCACCATTTGCTGAACTCCCACTCTGCCATTGCTTATTAGTTCCACCTCCTTGGTTCCAGCTTGGACGCTCCTTATCTGCATTTCCCTGGCTCCAGCTCTGCCCATCTTTGTCACTACTTTCCTGGTTCCAAGCCCCAGATCCAGTACTATTTTTCCATCCTTCAACATTATCTCCCCCCTTCTTCCAGTCAGAGGACCCATGCTCACCAGAATCCCTTCTGTTGTTCCAACCTCCAGGCTGGTCACTCCTCCCACGGCCTCGGCCTCCTCCTCTGTCTGATCCCCATCTACCACCAAAACCTCCTCTGTCTGACCTACCTCTACCACCAAAACCTCCGCGGTCTCCTCGGCCACCGAAGCCCCCACCTTCTCCTCGGCCACCAAAGCCCCCGCGCTCTCCTCTACCCCTAAAGCCTCTACCTCTAAAGCCACCTCTGTCTGAGCCATTTCTACCACGGTAACCACCTCTCCAGTTCCCACCACCTGCTCCATCATCAGAATTTTCATTTAGACCTTCATTTACACCACCAGAGGCATTTCCTGTGTTCCAGTTGCTATTGCTTCTCCAGTTGGTGTTTTGACTTGTATCACCAGATCCCGAATTCCAATTGCTTTTCTTGCCCCAATTGGAATCTTGATTTCCAGGATCAGTGTGCCCAGAACTCCAGTTGGAGTTCTTGTTTTCATTCCCAGCACTCCAAGAGGATTTGTTAGAGTTCCAATTGCTGTTCTTTCCCAAGTTGGAATTTTGATTTGAATCACCAGATCCAGAATTCCAATTGCTATTGTTCGGATCAGAAGTCTGGTTTCCATTGTTTCCAGAGTTCCAATTGCTTTTCTTGCCCCAATTGGAATCTTGATTTCCAGAATCAGTATGCCCAGAACTCCAGTTGGAATCCTTGTTTTCATTTCTAGCATTCCCAGAAGAATTGTTTGCGTTCCAACTGCTATTCTTTCCCCAGTTTGAAGTTTGATTAGAATTACCAGATCCAGAATTCCAATTGCTATTGTTAAGATCAGAAGCCTGGTTTCCACAGTGTGCAGAGTTCCAATTGGTTTTCTTGCCCAAATCGGAATCGTGACTTCCAGCATCAGGACACCCAGAACTCCAGTTGGAATTCTGGTTCCCATTCCCACTGCTTGATCCTGATTTCCGGGTACCCCAATTTGAAGGGGTACTTGGTCCATCAGCAGAACCACTCTTGCCATTGTCTTGATCCCACCTAATTGATGAATCTCTATCAGGTTTTTTTTCAATTGAGTCATTTGTAGATCCAGACTTCCAATTGCTTCTCTGACCCCAACCATTACCTTGACCACCACCACCAGCATTACCAGATACAGAGTTCCAATTACTTGCTTTTCCGCAATCCGAATCCTGGTTTTCAGCTACAGCGCTCGAATCAATATTCATTTTGCCCCAATTAGAACCTTCTTGGGCTTCCTCAGTCAATCCACTTTTCCAACCTGTATTACTTGAGCTAGACTTCCTAGATCCCCAGGCAGAATCCGGGTTCTCTCCAGCACTTGATCCCCCTTTCCAACCAGAGGCTTGCCCCAACCCTGCAGCTGAACCATCTGAAGCTTTTCCTGCACTCCAACCACCTTGGGCTTCCTCAGTCAATCCACTTTTCCAACCAGTATTACTTGAGCTAGACTTCTTAGATCCCCAGGCAGAATCCAGGTTCTCTCCAGCACTTGATCCCCCTTTCCAACCAGAGGCTTGACCCAACCCTGCAGCTGAACCATCTGAAGCTTTTCCTGCACTCCAACCACCTTGATCTTTACTTTTTTCCTCTTTATCATCTTCAGTGGATTTCTGATTCCATCCAGATTTCACTTGAGAAGAAGATATCGAAGTATTCCAATTGTTTGAAGCACCAGCAGGGTTTCCAACTTCTTTGACTCCACTTGTTCCAGATTTCCAGTTTCCTCCATCATCTGATCCACTTTTAAAACCGTTGCCTTGACCCCATCCAGTTGCTGAACATTCATTTGACATTTTCAGACTGCTCCAACCAGAGGACTTTTCTTCAGAAGCTTTGGTTGTATTCCGATTGCTTTTACTGTCCCATCCTGAGGGTTGATTTTCATCCAAATCATTAGCTTTACTTTTCCATTTGCTATTCTGATTGTCATCACCCATACTTCCAATTTTATGCTCAGCCTGACCCCAGCTGCCTCCACCATTTCCCCAGCCACCAGACTGATCTGTATCAGATGCGATTATTTTGTTCTCCACTGCAGCACCCCATGAGGAGTTCTGATTTGAAGTATTTTTAGTTTCCCAAGCAGGATCATCTGCACCTACACATTACAATAACAGTGAGGCAATTTATGAACAAGTAATTAACTAGAATCAGAGATGCTAAACATATCTGTACTGAATGCCCTGGGGTGACTATCTCAGAATGGGCCCAAACTTGACCGAGCCCTTGGAATCGACCTTCTGAGCAAGATATTTTTTTTGGGTTTTCGGGGTTGTTTTCATAGTTTTTAATTATTTTTTATTTGGCTTTTCATTGTCTATTTAAGGGCGTTGTGAACCCTAGTGTATTTGGTTGTTTTTGGTTAAATAAAGATATTATTGAGAGCTGCGGCTACTCTGAATCCAAGTTCTTTTCTGTTTAGTCAATTCGCATACGTTTTGGCATTATGTACTAGAATCATTACCATCAGAACTGAAGGGATTTGAGGTAGACTCTGGCTTCTGCAAGAACAAAAGTATAAGTCAAATATTAAATGAAAATGCAGTAAAATCATAAATAAAACACTAATGGATGTAAATGGGTAAAAAATGCCATGTGTTATATAACAAGGATGTGTTTTACACACAGTAACAACAGGCGACACAGGAAAGGAGGAAGACACACACAAAACACACAACACAAGGATGTGTTTTACACACAGTAACAACAGGCGAGACAGGAAAGGAGGAAGACACACACACACAAAACACATGAAGGCACGCAATGTTATTGGTGCTATAGTGCAAGACATACCAACAAGCTTGGAGCAGACTGGTTAGACCATTCACTCCTGCAAAACATTATCACAAGATAAAGGAAAAAAGTAACCAACTTAATATGTAAAAACTAATCATCAATAAGAAAAAAAGAAGAGAATAGATATTTGCCATTATAAATTATCAGGATTCAGGACAAGGATTTAATATACAAAGATATAAATACAATAAAGCAAACACTGTAATACCTTCATATATCAATTAGAGAAGCTTTGAAGGGACAACGTTCCATGTCAGAAAAACACTCAGAAAATTAAATGACAAACACATCTAACATAATTTAGTTATGCTTGACACATTTACTTATAAACATTTGACATATATGTCTTTGCTGTGTGCTATCTGTTTCATAATGTGCCATGTGTCCCTTGTCTGCATCTATGCTTCCTAGCAATATCTCCAACCTTCCCAAATTTCTAAATAATTTTCTAGATTACTGAACAATATGTGGATGTTTTGAGATCCTTCCTTTTCATAGCCAAATCCATCAAGACTAATTAGTCAGAAGTCAGAACATATGTTAATTGAATAGAGCAGAGAAAAAACAAGTGGATTAACTAATATCAATATGCAATATATATACCTTTCAGCTGACGTCCCTCCTGCATTCCACCCACCACCAGTCCCTCCCGCATTCCACCCACCACCACCACCAGTGGATGTTCCCGCTCCATCCATCCAACCTTTCCAAATTTAAAGATTCAAGTCTCAATAAAACATAAATGGAATACGGAATACGGGAGAGGTAACCTCCTTGCATGTTAATTGATACTGTCATTCAATTTACAGGGAAAATTTTCTTTTCTGAAGCATAAGAGATCGAAAATAAATTAGAGAATAAGGGAGTCCCACCTCCAGAGCTGCCTTCAGTACCCAGCAGATCAAATGGCTTGAATGAACTTGAATCTGGGTCACCGCTGATATAACAAACATACAGTAACTCACGACAATACTCACAGACACAGTCAAAGCAATTAGTAAGAAGTAGTTGTAGTATACTCAGTTATTGCCAATGTCAGAAATACCTTGTCGATGAGGCAGTATTCTTCCCTTGAACCTCAGAAAGGTGCTCACATTTAACTGAGTGAACATAAGTTCATGGAAATTGTTATAACTAATGATCTCGTATTTCAAGAATCAAGAGTAGACAGTCGTAAACAAACCTGTAAGAACCTTTTGCCGAGAATCTAGTTTGACAGTAACATCAGAGCGACGCAAAGCAATGACACGGCAGAGGTATCCCTTCAAAGGACCTATCCTAATTCTCAAGGTCTGACCAATACTAAACATATTATCTTTGTCCCCACGGCTAACTGCATATACAATTATTGAATTGAGGAAAATAAGATATATGCATATCTAAAGCTAAAAGACTTGTCAAGGAGTCGTGCATCTTTACAGACATTCACGATTTTTTTCTCTTTCTTGCCATGGTCGTTTAGGTGAAAGTGGGGATGTTGGTGATGATGGTTGGTCTTCAAAGACAAAAGGGGCCGGTTCGCTATCCTGCATATAGCAATACGCAGAGCATCAAAACCTCAACTGAAGTCATCTGAGAGTTCATAACCTAGCATTATACTAGGATAGATTTCAAACCTTCCCACTGCAATCATCAACAGTAAGCTTGACTTTCTCACACATATTAGATTTAGAGGTGAAATAACCACCATTTTCTTCCACATTTTCATCATATAAAAAGACAATCCCTCTATAGATATGCTTAACAATGCCTTGTCTACCCTGCAAAATGACAAAAAATTGTTTTATAACATCAAGTAGGGGATGAAGATTCCAAATATACCACAGCTAAAAAATTTCCCAATTAGAAATAAGCATCAGAAAGGGGGCGAACCGGAGCAGTGGTAAAACTGTTCCTTCATGACTGAAAAGTCATGGGTTCGAATCCAGGAAACAGCCTCTTTGCAATTATGCAAAGGTAAGGCTGCGTACAAGGATTTCCTCCACCCCACACTCGCTAGTCGGGTTTAACGGGGAGTGATTTTTTTTTTTTTTAGAAATAAGCATCAGACCTTAGATGGACCTTCCAGAACCCTGACGCTATCATTAACCAATATAGTCTTAGCGTGCTGATCTTGAGCACTAAGTTTCAAATCAAATAGTCCACTCTTTATCTCATGCCGATCAATAGTCACAGCAACAGGTCCATCTGAACTCTCTTTAAGAATCTAATCAACAGACAAGGAAATTAGAATAGAACTTTCCAAAAACAACAGACACTCAAGATAAAAGGCTTGTAACAAATGACATTGCATGAGCTGAATATTGTACCTTGTAGCTATCATCTTTATCCATGCCTACTATTACACCAAAGTCCTTCTTGCTGCAATGGCAAAGATCTGTCAAAAAGGAATACATACATGTATAGGAGGTGGATGTGCATGCATCAGCATGTGTGTGCACGCACAGCGTGTGAGAGAGAGAGAGAGAGAGAGAGAGAGAAGTAATTCATATAGTAACATGAATGCTAAGTAAGTTAAACAAGGACTTACCCAAAACACACCAGATCATACAGTTCAAAACCATTTACCACACCAGAACCGGATGAGCTCTCTCCTTTCTCTCCTTTCCCAACTCCCTTATCAGCTCTTGTAACCCGCTTTTTCTTCGAGTCACCATAAAGCTGAGAGAGCCACTCCAAATCATTTGATTCATTGTTTTCAGAAGGCCCAAACTTCAACAGCTCCTCTTCTGTTGGCACAACACCCCATAAAGTTAATGAATCTGGAGATACTTTCTTGAATACGTATCCATCCTTGAGCAGCATGCCATCAAGAACCTCAAAAACCTTGCCAGTATCACGGTCACGTCTGAGTTGTATGAGAGGTCGGAATTCCCTGTGGAGTTATTGAAAAACAATCACATCAGACACATCATCCAGAGAAAAAGAACAAGATATGAGAATATGCATTATTACTCAAGTTCACTTGAGGTGATTAATCTTGGTGCTGGCACAGCAGCTTTTTGGCGACTATATCCTCCACCCTGTAACATTGAGTGAAAACCCCCATCAGTAATCATCCCATCTATATCTTGTACAAAGCCATAGGATAAAAACAATAAAGTCAAAAGAGCAGCCAACAGAAATCGGACTTAGCTCACTCAAAGAACAGAAATCGGACTTAGCTCACTCTAAGAGCACTACATGCTTCATTCCAAAACAGACAACACAACCAGTAATACAAGTCCAGTTTTATTTCAGAATAACTAGGTAAGGATTACCACTGGGACTTTTACATTCACTCCCAGGTCTTATGATCTTATCTAATTAAACACAAAACAACACACAAAAAATTTCATCTACTTACGAGTTTGATCTCAATTTTAGCAGTTCCCAGAATCTACTAAACAGTGTAAAATAATTTCCATAATGCATTAGATTACAAGGTCAATATAACAATATATAACCAAAACGACCAGAAAAAATGACAGTTCACAAACTCATGAATGCAACATGTGATTTTGATACAATGCATTGCTTAATAAATGCAGGATGCAATGTATTAATACTAAACGCAAATAGATCAACAGGTTTAATGTTAGTTTTCCATGAATGGGAGACTACAAAAGTGGATCCTCTCTGATTCTATAGTATCTATTTGTCCAAAACACTCAGCCCTATTACATAACACAATAAAGATACTACCAGCAGATATCAAACAGCAACTAAAGGAAAACCGGCATCATCATAGATAACAGATGCACTGTAGGAAATAAAAAAAGACAAAAAGAAGAGAAAGTCATGTGAACGCAGATCTCATTACAAATTTGGCAGCCAGTGCTTGAAAATCAATTCTTGGAATAAGCTTCACTGTAACTTTTTTGCGCGTATTATTCACAGCCACAACCTAAAAAAATATAATAGACACAAGGAATTAGAATCTCACAAGTTGGAAAGCAGAATACAACTTCAAAACCTTCCTTGTGCAATACCTGTGCTAAGTCCCCCTTGTAATGACCACTTTTTATGCGAGCCCAGGAGCCCTCAGAAATTTCACGGCTTTTGCTTCGAACAGAGAACAGATGAAAAACTTCATTTTTTGGAACAGGTTGCGCTCGAGTAACATAGATACCAGAAATCCCGTTACATGCCTGAAATTGTAAGTTAGTAGCAATTAGCAAATGAAAATAGATTTAGCCAGTGGCAGAAACATTTCACAAGTAATTGATATCAATAAACCGATCAAAATCCCCAGTACAGAAATTACCTCATTTATATCAAACTGCTTCTCAGCTTCAATGTACACAAATCCTTTGATGTGATCTACAGCAAAGGCAGATATTATCTGCAATTTAGTACCCAGTGATTTCAAGTCAGCAAACTTCTGCATCAGACAGAATGCCGAAAGCCTCTCGCGCCCAACCTGCAGCAAGCAAAGCATCGCAAAGGATGGAAAAAAAAAGAGAAGCAATTGAGGATGTTTGCAGGTGATGCTTGGAATTTTAGTTTGCAAAATTACTAAAGCCATGCTTCAGGAGTCATACAGTGCATTTGACTTTCCAGATGGTTGGAGTTAATTCCTTAACACCGGTATGTAAGGAATTTGGCTCCATTGCTTTGTCATCAAATTCATCTCCGGCAAATGTGACAAATCTAGAACATTCTCCATAGCGTTCCTCCATCATTCTATCAAATTCTTCTTCATCCATCACTTCCTCTTTGGGGATAAATGGGAGGCTACCATGCCCCTTAGCTGGTTCGCCCATCGGCAACGTATCAAAGTCCTCATCAAAAAATCCTGTTCAGAAGAATTTCAGAAAAAGCCAAGGGTGGTGTTGTTGTGACAACACTGAAATTCTAGTGATGAAAAAATGAACTCGGAAGAGATGAAATTAGAAGAAACTCAAGCATTTCTCAAATAATATAGCCACGAAACAGAGAAGAAACATCTAGAACAAGAAAGGACCGAAAAAATTGACCGAAACACTAAAATGTGGCCTAAACCCTAACATTTCTAGGGAGGGCAACAAATGAAGAAAACGTGCGAGTAGGAGGAGGAGTGAGAAGGGATTCCGATTTCATACCATCGCTGAAATCGCTATCGTCGCTGTCTTCGTCGTCGTCCTCAACGTAAGCGGCGTCTTCGAAGAACTGAAGGACCCCTCGGTTCTTCCCTTTGCGGCCGCCGGTCTTGTCATCGTCATAGTCGTTCTTACGCTTGCCGGCGGAAGATTTTCCGGCAACCTCCTTGCCTTTGCCCTTGCCCTTGATCGTCATTTCCAGCAAAAATGCGGGGCGAAACCAACGCCAATTGCATGCAGAGAAAGAGAGAGAGACAGAAAGAGAAGGAAGTGAGCGAGTGAGGTGTGAACTGGGAAGACCCAAGAGTCAGAAATATATTTGTTAGAGAAAAAAATGGCATTTTCTGCCACGTGGCTTGCTGTTACATCTACAATACATCCTCGTAGAGACAGGCCCGGCCCGGCCCGGCCCATAAAAAACACTCGTGCTAGATACCTATCTTCAAATTGCACATAACGTCCCAAATGGTTTCTATGTAGCCTCAACTCAAGTACTATCCGTTACGTTTTTCCGTAATATCTGAACTTTTGGGTTATTAAATATCACGTTACTCAATTGGGTCATACTATACTTGCTCAGGGAAGCCAGAAGATAAATGGTGAAGAATCCTTTGTGATTGGCATGCATTATGTAAAAGAACTTTAAGAAAGAGAGCCATAGTTAATATGTGCAATCAATTCTCAATAGTTGGTGCTTTCATAGTGGAGGTTCATGTGAGTAGTATGTTCCCGGATCGGGCAAGTATTTTCAGCATGAGGTAACATCCTTTCATGAACCATAAATAGCTTAACTTGCTTGGTACTTTACGACCCCAAATTGATTTTTCATAATGCTGCGTCCTTCGTGTGAGTTAACAAAGCATTTGGCCTGCTTGATTGCAGTTAGAAAAATCATATTGCACATAAACTTGTGCAGGTTGTGAGTTTGAAGAGCAAATTAAAGATACAAATAAATGAAACAATGAAGGATTTATTCCAAAGTATAATCCAAAAAGGTGCACAAATTTTTGAAGAATTGTTTTTAAGAGAGTAGACATTGAAAGAATATGATTAAAAATATCAATTACTTCATTTTTTTTAGTAATCAATTACTTCATTTTAATTTACATTTATTGCAAAACTTTTTCACATTATATTATCTACACGAGGTAGGATCCTTTGACACCAGTGTCAAATTTGAAATTTAACAACTCATCTGAGAGCCATTAGATCAAAAAATATTAACGACTCTGATTTGTAAGCATGTGACACCATTGATTTTTTTTTTACCTAATGGCTCTCAGATGAGGTGTTAAATTTCAAATTTGACACTGGTGTCAAAGAATACTACCTCTATTTACATATTGTTAAATTGCTTAGGAAATTTGACTTCTTATTAATTAGAAAATCTAACACCAATGAAGTACTAATATATTATCTACTGATAATATAAAAGAGGGAAATGTAAGAGTTATGTAGCCGGAAATAAAATTAATTCCCTGCGGACACAATTTTTGGTGGGACCCATGAATTTAAAAAAAAAATGAGAGAGAAAGAGGCGTCGTCATTGATGAGACTTGTGATTACAGGAAAAAAATAAATTCTGTCCTATTACATAATTCTTACATTTTCCTATAAAAAATATTACAATGTGGATACATCAAAGTTACACTCTAAAAGATTAATCATGCGAGATAATGTCTTATAATGTAATTTTAGGGGGCGTTTCCCGGGTTGAGTTTACAAAACTAACTTTTAGAATGAACCTCCATTTTGTCGGGGAAGAACTACCAAATGTTTTGCCGCCCGTTGATCGGAGCTTTCTCTAGCATTCGCCGTATACTTTCTGGCTAAATGTACAACAGGATAACCACATTCTCAACGTTTTGGCACGAATGCTTGTGCACAACGCTGAAGGTTTAACATGATCGAGTTTTTCAATATTTTTGGTATCCCCTCAGCTATTGCCACGTTCTCCTTCGCAAACGCAAAAAACTGAAGACATTAAAAAGAAAGAACGTTTTTAATGAAGCACAAATTCTGAACAATGTTTTGTAACGTACGAGGGTGTGGAAACATGCGCCAAAATCGTGGGAAGCGACAAATTGCTTTGCTTCCAGAATGGTTACTCAGTCTAGACGATTTGTACTACGGTGTCGATGAGTGAACGTGCATGGCCAATAGCCGAAAAACCATTTACAATGCTGAAGTTGCAGGACATGTAGACGGGGACAAAGAGAGAGTATTTTAGTTTTAAAGCAGGGTTATTTTAGACATTACAAATTTTGAAATTTTTTCCATAAGGGGAATCCAAAAATATCATCCACTCGATGGTATTCTTTGCTGGGATTTTGATTTACAATTTTAAATATTGGGATTTAATTTTTCAAAGAAATTTTTCATAATTCTTTTATCAAATATGGATAAATAAAATTTTCAATATTAATTTTTTGAGAATCTAAAATTTATTACTCTACCAAACCACCCCTTAAAATTTTGAGTTTAATTTTAATAGACCGTCAGTGTAAAAACAAATTACAGTATCATCTAACTATGCTTTATTATATCATTTAATGAATTTAACAACACATCTCATAAGTAATTTTTAACATGATGTCATTGGATGAGATTGAATTCTTTCTTAGTGTATTCAGATTAAATTATAATTTTTTTAATTATTAGTTTATTCGAATTATATGAAGGAAAAATATTTTTGATATTAAATTAGCAAAAAGTATAAAAATGACTTTGGATTTAAAGATTGTTTTCTTATTAAGCAATGGTAATATGACAAGTTCATTTTTTATATGATTACAATTGACTAAAATGAATAGAGAAGTTCGTATATATTAAAAGTTTAAAATATGTCAATTATAATATTCTTGATTGATTTATATCAATCAACAAATATTTTTATAACACTAGTTGTTTTTAAGTTGGCTAAACAAGTTGCCATACAAATGCAAAACGAAGCATATATACAGCGAGGCAGGAAAATGTTGCACGGAAGAAATGCTAAAGGTAATTGGACAGTATTAATACATAACTATCACTAACTATACTTCTTAACTTATAAATTTTTTATTTTTTTAAAATATTTGTCACTTTAAAAAATCAAAAGGACATTAATTTTTATATTCAGTTTTTGGTATATGTACAAAATAAAATGAGAAGACAGTAATAAAATAAAATACATAATATAGACAATAATTTTTTTAAATTAAAAATATTTAATAGCCTTTTAATTATTGTGCAAGACCTTAAATATTTAATATTTTAAAATAGAAAGAATATTTCAATTTTGATTCCCTCTGATTATATTCCTCTTTGGCATTTTTTTAAGTTACAATTAAAAAGAGCTTAAAAAATGAAGTTAAAAATTATTTGATAATTATATAACATTGTTTTTGGGCTTTTGAAAGGAGGAAAATGAAATTATTTGTTATTAGGATAAATAAGCAAAATGATAAATTGGTGAATTAAAGTTTAAAATAAGAGTAAAATTAAAAAATATATATGAGAATTATGAAAAACTGACATATATCTTAAAAAAAAAAAAAAAAACTCATCCTGTTAGCTTTTAACTTTTTATTTTTTTCTTCAGTATAAAAAAATAAAAACTTTTGTAAAAAATGATGTTTAAATAAAGGGAAAAGTGTGTATCATTTTAAAGGATGTACAATTGTGTCATTTTAAGTAAGAAAAAGAAATAGATAAAGGAGGAGAGAAAATGGACAAAAAAATATAAAAGTGTGGATCCCACATAGGGTTGGCAAAAACGAGTCAATCCGTCGGGTTGGCTCGTAACCCGTCAAAAATGAGCCGGATTGGGTTGGCATAAATGAGCTGTCAACCCGAGCCAACCCGACCTGAGCCAACCTGGACAAAAACGAGCCAGCCCGCGGGTTAAACGGGTCAGCTCTCTTGGTTGGGTTTCTTTTTTTTTTAATAATAATATCAAAAACCTGTTGTTTGTGTCCTCTCTTCCGAAGACCGAGACATATTGTTTCTGTTCGAAGCAAACTTGCCACTTACTGATTAGTGATTAATGCTACATGATAAAGAAAACGTTATGATAGAAGTTCCTTTTTTGCAAAGTAAGGATGTTTGTTATATTATGCCTTGAATGGATTGAGTTTCTTCGGTTAACTATGTTTTGATTCAATGACATTATACTAAAGCTGTTGGATACTAGATATGGATGAACTTTAGTGTACAGAGCTGGTGTTGAAGTGTTTTCTCTGCATTTGAATGGTTTTTTGCCATTAGGTTGTATATGTGTGTTGTTTTTTTTGGTTGGGGGATGTAAACAATGCAAAGGTCCTCAATAAATAATAAAAATATGTCTTTTTATTATTATTTTTTAATTTTTATTGTCTCCTATTTGAGCCAACTCGCGAACTTATTTTCGAGCCAATCCTAACTGGCTCGGGTCAGGTTAGGTTTTCTGCCTCGTTTTATTTTCGAGCCAACCCTAATCCGGCTCATTTTTTTTGGGTTGAATACGAGTTGGGTCGGGTCGAGCCGGGTTGGTCCGTTTTGTCAACCGTAGTCTCACATCTTTGTGAGAGTGAAATGACATAAATTGTGTCATTTAAAACGACAAACACTTTTCCTCTTCTTCTTTTTTATAGTAGATAGATAAATTTCTGTTTACCAGAAGAATAAAAGCTTACAAACATGCACTCTAATTGTCAAAGAAGTGAAGTAAAGATGAAAAAAAAAAAGCAAGAAAGAAAAGTAGCTATCCTACCGGAGCAATCCTACTTAAAGAAAAGTAATTGTGGCACTAAAGTTTAAACTTATAACTCCATGTAAATTATCTAAACACGTCACACTACTGGAGCAATCCTACTTAAAAACAAAAAGTAGCTATTGTCAATCATAAAAAGATCGACTAAATTTTATTTCCGTTCCTGTCACACTTGTCGACTTGTCGACTTGTCGTTGATGTTAAGGAACTCAGTATCAAACAAACATGTCTTTCTTTTTCACTCAACTCCAACTTCCAAGGCTTCACCAATTACATCCCAACTTTGGTATCTTGTCCTCTCTCGCCGCCGTTCTGGGCAACCGCCATCTCAGCCGTGGCTCCGTCGTCCTGCTTTCGGTACCTCTTGTAAATGTCACCTTTATAAAACTTAATGGTCCTAGCAACCAAAATGACCGAAATAATGGCACCGAAGAAAGTTGCTGCAGTGATAATAATGAAGGACAACTTGAAACAACTGGCTCCAACACAATTCAATTCCTGTCCCACCTTTCTTGGGATCCCCAATGCACCCAATTGCCTCTTAGCTTCTTTGTCATACAGATGGCCAGTTACCATCACATTAAGCACATAAAGGCCAATTGGGCTCGCTACCCCGCCAAAGTTGTACAAAGTTGAATAGTACTTTAGTCCAAACAGCTCCGAAATTATGGCAAAGACTAATGGCCACTGTGCACCAAAACAGAACCCAATAATTACTGAAGCTACATAGAGACCATTGGGCACATCAAAGACTATCAGTAGATGACCGACGCAGGATAAGAGCAGAGTCAGGGTGAGCATGAGAGGTCGAGGAAATTTGTATTTTGTTAGGAAATGTTCAGAGACAAAACCAGAAAAAACTCGTCCTAGAAAATTCCAAATGCTCACCAGTGACACAAATGTGCTTATGCTTGTCTTTGGGTATCCAAGTGAGGTTCCAATCTGACCCAGATTGTCAATTGCTGTTAAAGTGCCACCAACACCACAAGTGCCAGCGAGGAATAGTAATATCATGTCTATGCTAAAAAGCGCTTGAAGTATGGTATAGTCATCACCTCTTTCGGGTGGGGTAAAAACATTTTGCCACCATCTAATTTCTTCCGTTGCATTAGTAGTACTGTTGTTTGATGTTGGTGCTGAATATTCAGATCTGTTCCCATTCGCAGTCGCAGTCACAGACTCCTCTTCATCAGTTACAATTTTCAACACTGGCAAGGGATCATCAACGAATGCAAGCTTTTGACTCTTCCGGGTCTTGTATTCTTCACAAAAAACAACAGCAATTGGGAGGAAGAGCAAGAAAAGCACCACGGCAGCACTCACGTCATACTCACTTCGTTTGAAAGAGACCTTTTTCTGTACTATGATCATAACCAATAGAAACCCAGCAAGGCCAAGAGAAATATACAAAAATTTGTAGAAAACACTGAGCTCATCAGGCTGTCGAACTGGCTTCATGTATCGAACAGTTCTCAGGAAAGCAAAAGATATAGCAGCTGGAAGCCAAGCTATGAGCAAAATCAAAGCCTTTGAGTCATTGTAATAAAAAGCAAAGTATAACTGTGTGATGATGGCTCCACTGAGACCCACGTAACCTTTGAGGATGCCTAACACAACACCACGGCTTTCAGGGAAGTTCTTAACACAAGTGACAAGAGAGCCAGTGTTTGCAAAAGACTGAGAGTTAGCACCTATGCAGATATAGAGACACATCTGCCACACTTGAGGTTTGGCTATTCTTCCAGTCACTGCTAGCCATATCATGAAGTAGCCAAAGAAGTTAAGAACCGAACCCATGGCTAGAACCACCCAGGGTGGGGTGATCTCGTTGATTAGTCCTGATAAGACACCGAAATTGGCACCCAAGTCCTTGAAGAAACTGAGGAGATTGAGAGTGGTTTGGTCGTAGCCAAGAGAATTTTTTATGTCGCCGGAGTAAAGGCCGAACATGTAGGTGGCTCCGGAGACTGCCATGATTAGGAAGGAGGCAAACACCACGAACCACCGACCAGTGACGACTTGGATGGCGAGGGCCTTCATCTTCATGTCGACGGAACCACCACCTGCAACCACCATGTGTGTAGCAGAATATTATTATTATTATTTTTATAAATAGAAATTGAACACATAAACAGAGTTTGAAGATGTGGGTTAAGAGCTAGTGAATAATGAATATAAACTTGGAGTGGCAAGTGGCAACTGGCGTGTTTTGTTCAATCAAGTGGTCCTGAGTTTAGGCGGTGGAACACTGTTTTTGTACTGCCTATAAAAAAATTAGTGGAGCAGGAGTATCATTTTTTTTTGTTAAACGAGATCATTTTCTTTTATTTTTATTCAAATTTTTATTTAAGAACCAATTTTATTATATTTTTTGTATTAGGTATATATACGTCGGTAATAACAAAAAATGTTCGCGTAGAAGATTTCTTCAATGCAGAAGTATACTACTGTGCATACTCTGCTGCACTGAATAATGGATAGTGGGTACACCTGCTCTGCTGCTCGAAAGAAATTTTCTAGCAATGATGGAGACTCTTTCGTTGACTACCAACTCTTATTGTTTTGCGGCTAAGTCTAACCTTTCAACTGTACGGAAATATCTAACGTAGTCTCATTTGTGCATCTCGTCAATGGGATAACTTATGCATAGAGTGTAAATGAGCTGACTTTGAATTTTATGGTGTAAGTCTACATACAAAAAATATTCAATTTATCTGGTCTATTAGCTTACTAAAAGTTTTAATTATAGGTCAAGTCTGAACTATTTTTAAAAAATTAGAGAGCCTGATATGGCCTACAGGCCTGGTAGACCTCCTTCGTGATATAATTTTAAAAATATTTTTAACAATTTTTAAAATATTCGCTTGACATTACAAGTCATTAACGTGTTTATAAATTGCTGCATTTTTTTACACGAGATATAAATTTCACTAGTGAGCATTAAAAAATTTACAATAGTAAAAAAAATAACTAAAATAATATACTAAGCAAAGTTCCATTCATGCATGCACTAATACTTCTCATAAAAAAAAGACAAACAAAAAATAGTCAACATCATATCTCAGCTCTATAATGTATATCAGAGAGGAATAGAGTCAAAGAAATGAGAAAAATAAAAAAATACAATTACTAGGTCAACCAAAGTTAAAATAAAGTCTACAAGAGAATATCATTCATTGAAATATCTTTAAACCACCATCAAGACAAGGGTTGGTAGTTGGTACTAATTGCCACCTAAAATAAATATATTATTTTATTTTATTTTATTTTTAAAAATTAAATAGGCCAGCCTACAAGGTTTTAGGTCAGACTTGACAAAATTGAATTACGCCCTATTTGTTAAAAAGACTTTCTTATAAGCCTAAGCCTACTCTACTTTTAAACATAGGCCGGGCTAGGCCAGGCTCAACGCAGGCCGGGCTGTAGGCCAGGCCAGCCTGACCCATTTACACCCATACTTATGCATCAGGTAATATATAGGTAGAAGAAAAAAATAATATTAACATTATAATTATATATTTTAAAAATATATAATTATAATGTTAATATCACATATATTGTTCAATATTAGTGTTTGATATGACTGTGTACAGAAGAAGGTCTCCAACTGTACGTGTGTATTCAACATTTGACATGTATGGGCTAATGGTCGTCCAAACGGAATTAAAAATAATATATGCATGCAACGGTATGAACAAAAATCTTTCCCTCATGGAGAAAATTCAATATCATAGTTCTCTTTTTTTTTTCAAAATTATTATCATCACAATGAATTAATATTGTTACTAATTACTAAATTAATGAATATTTTAGTCACGATGACTAATTCAATCATCATTCTTAAATTTTAGTAAATTAAGTATCCATTTAATTTCTTTTCTTTAACTTTTATTTTCTTTATAAGAAGAAATTTAGCCAATATTTTTATAAAAGCTACTTTCACAAAAAAAAATTATAATGAATAAAAATAAAAAATGCTAAAAGATCTTATAAGGAGTTTTTTTTTAATATGTATGTCAACTTTTTTAGAGTTTTCATTTTTTTTAGTTATATCCCTATTCTAAATTTTTATTTACAAATTTTACCATGTACCCTAACGATAAATAGTTTGATTTCATCTTTTCTCCAAAATGCTAAGAATATCACTGATAAAGTGTTCATCACAAAGGAAGATTTTGCACACTAGATTACCATGGGTATATGTTGTGCAATTTCGCAATCGAATATATAAATCAATCACACAAGTACGCAAGTTCATGTGTAACAAGTATTAAAGTAGATGTGTTATGAGTCCAAAAATCGATTCGAGATTAAGAAAAGTTACGGCTCTAAATGAAGTAATAAAAGGAACAATGATGATTTTTAATTAATTAATAACCAATAATTAAAATAAGCTAAGACTATTGATTAACTAAGAAAACAAAATAAAAAGATAAGTTTCAAGTACTCAAACGTAGATTGGGATCAATTTCACCAGAATGCAGTCAAAACACTATTGCAATCATCCAATCAGTAATCAGAACACTTATGCATGTGAGAGCTCTCATCAACAGTACATGTATACTAGCTCCCATATCTTTATGGGCAACATAGTTATAAATACATTAAGTGAAAGTTCTCTATGATTTTGTGATGCGAATGATCTCTCTACCCACGATTAATCAATTAAATAACTTACTGGGCTCACCTATATCTCTTGCAGCCCTCTCTCGATAAGTCGACAAGAATAAGGATAATTTAAATGCTTTATTAAACAACCAATTGAAAAATACATAGCAAAGTTTAGGAAAACTGATTACATCACAATAAGGATACTCTATCACCCAATCCTAGACAATTTAGCTCATACTTGAATAGAAAGAAACAAGAAAGAAAGAATAAGATTCCGTAGAACTAAAATTAGATAAACAGGGACGTTGCTATAGCTCTTCTCTCGCAGCAACTGTTGACTCCGCCATCATCCATCGTTTTTCAGCCGTCCGAAGAGTGCAGGAAATCACCGAATTCAGTGATCTCTCTACTGAACCCTAGCTCATCCCTTTGATTTACTAGATCTTTCTTGACGAACCCTTAAACTTTCTCTAAGTGTTTCACTGCTTGAAGTCTCTTCCAAAGCTCTCTCAAATTCTGAGTCTAAGATCCTCCGTAAACCTTTTTGGTGTGTGTAGGCTTTCTTCTTGTATAGACCTTGATGACTTGAGCTCCTAGTCATTCTTCAAATCCAGTACAAATATCATTGCAATATGATCCTGATTTGCTGAAGATTCTGCTCTGATTTGCTGAAGATATAGCTTTTAAAACAGAGTATACTGACTTTAATATTGAATCTCTCTGCAAATCGTTCCAAATAATCTTCAAATATGGCATTGATTTGCTGAAGATTCAATATTGATTTGTTGAAGATTTACTTTTGTTTTGTCATGGATTTATGTGTGATTATTCTGAAAGGGACGGTAACTTATAGATCGCCCAAAGTTCAGCTGCCAGAGGGGAGCATATCCTAATCTCGTATGTAAATCCTCTCACCCAACCACCTTATCATCTCTAACGAGGCCACCACACGACACGATGTTGGAATCCTTCGCAACATCAATGTTAAGCTTCCACCGGCCTTTCGAAGGGGCTATCCAAACAGCCTCCTCACCCAAAACAGCGGGGCAGCTCCTGCTATTGTGTCTTTCCATCGCTGTTTTAAATTCCATAATATACTTAGATATAATATGGATAGGGTTATATGGTCTAGAAAAAAGGAGGTCATGAATCTTATTGTTCCCCCACATCCATAAGTGCCAAATAATGGTTATGAACACACTAGCCCAGTCTAACACCTTTTTTTGTCCCCCCCCCCCCCCGCATTAAATTCTTTCTAATCCAATCATTAACATTTAAGGAGAAAAAGTCAATAAAGGGACTACCAACCAGCCATGCCTCCCAGATTGGTTTAGCATTTTTACACCCCCTCAGCTTAGCATTACTTTTGGTTAGTCTTCTCTCTCTAATCATATTTACTTAGCTAGCAAAAGTAAAATAATATTGAAACATAAAAATATAGAGACTTAGAATTCATAATTGGTTGAGTTCTACAAATTTTAATAAACTCAATAAATTTTTATTTAATTTATTTACTTATATATATACAATATTGATTTAAGCAATAAAATCTGAGAATTTTTTTTATAATTTCTTAGAGACTAATAAAATGTAATTCATCTTTTTAAAAAAAAATGATTTTGAAGCACCTAAAGCTTGAATTACTAATAAGACAATAAAGCTAAAAAATGTTTCTGCAGTTACTGCAGATAAGTTATCTGCAGTAAACCCAATACGACGTTGTTTTGGGACGAAAATCATGGTGTTTTTGTGATTTTAATTTATTTCAGGGTTATAATAGTCTTTATATTTATAATTTTTTAAGATTTCAATACCAAAACGACGTCGTTTTAGGAATAAATGCAGATAACTTATCTGCAGAAACATTTTTCCCTAGATTTAATACATGATTTTTAAAAATGATTTTCACACATGCACCCAAAGCTTACAGATAGTAAGTATTAAATGATGGGAAATAAGGCTTTCATGCGACAGGTGATGAATTTTTTTCCTGCAGAGCCATTGTTTCCCATGCCAGCTAAGGGTGTAAATAGGCCATGGTAGGCAAGGCTTTGGCCTTCTTGGCCTAAGCCTACATAATAAAATGGTCAGCCTATCTGGCCTACGAGCCTATCAAAGGCTTAGTTTAAAGGCCAAGCCTACCCTGTTATTTAAAAAGAAAAAGCCTACATGGCCTATGAGGCCTTTTAGGCCTACCATGTTACAAATTAAATAAAAATAAAAATAAAATATCTCATTCATTAAACAATATTTTCAGCATGGGTCCAAATTATAAAAATTCTACAACAGATTTTTTTAACAAGAATACAGATTATAAAAATTCATGACAACAAAGATTGAATTTTTCTTGGCACATCACAATCTTCAAGTGAGCCTTGTTATCTTCCTCCTACTTTGATATACTTTTTCACTTTTTGAATCTGTGAAACATCATTGTCCTGTAAAATCAAGTTATTAGAGTGAGCCACTTAATATCATTATCTAATATCAATATCTTTTTGAACAAGGATGAGCCACTTAAAATGAAGTTACACCGAAAACACAGAACACAAATGATAAAGAGAAGAGGCATACAAGGATGGTCCAAATTTTAAGAAAAAAATAGGCATCTCACCCATGAAAAGTAATCAGCTTGATTATTCTCACTATCTTTTCAAACCTGCAAGTTAAAAATCAGAAAATCAAATTAGTTATGCATTTCACTATGTTTACATTATGAATTGCAATATATAAACATTTTCAAATGAGTTGTTAAAGAAGCAATTTATACTTTTTGTTTTTTTTCTTCAAATCATATTTATTTCGTAACCAATCTTCTCCACAAATTAATGCTTCGACAGTCTCTTCGGCTAAACTAGCACGATAAGCATCAATTACTCTTCCACCAGCACTAAATGTGGACTCAGATGCTACTGTAGAAATTGGAACAGCTAGTATATCTCTTGCCATCTTTGATAAAATTCTATATTTCAAGCTGTTTGTCTTCCACCAGTCCAAGGCATTAAAGGAAATCTGAAATTTTTCATCACATATGTAAACCCCTTCTTTAAGATAACTTTTTAACTCTGATTTTACTGGGGAAATAATTTCCTTTTTGCGCACAATGCTCATGATTTTAGAAAATCCTGATAGAGGAGCTCGAGGTGGAAGAGTGGAAGAGAGGGATGATTGGTTCACACTAGTTTCTAGCTCACTATTTGGGACTGAATCTTGCAAACTTATAGCACAATACTCATTGTACAAATCTTCTAAAGCTGCCTTCACTTTTTCAACATTTTCTGTTGCCTCAAATTCTGATTTGTATATAATTGGAAAGCAAATATTTACCACATGCAATTTACACCTTGGGTCTAGAACACTAGCAATGGCCATCAGCTAATTGCATTCCCCCCAGTATATAGTAATTTAGAAAGCACTTTCTCCAACTCAGTATACATAATGCCATAATACAGTAATTTTAATTTTAATAATCTGCATTTTCGCCTAACTATGAAGCCTATTTCTTCCTTTTTACTTTTAATTTTCTGCACTTTCTCCAACTCAGTATACATAATACAATGCTTCGGTGGTTCTTAGATTAAAAAGAAAATGTTTCTTATACTTCTTTTACAACTTTTGAACTTGTGACAGTGCTTTTCATCTCAGATAATGGAACAGAAAACCATACATAGCAAGCAAATTTCAAAAAAAGACAAAACTTATGGCATTCGACATTCTCCAAATGGCATGGATTCATCCCAATGTTAAAGAAACTTTGTTCAGCATTTTATTCCACTATAAAGGATACAGTAATATTTCGATATAAAAAGACTAAGGAGTTTTGGCCCTATTTTCTTTTATTTAAGAATTTTGTTCAGAGTAATCTCGCGGATTCTACATGGTCTAGTGAGGTTGCTCTTGGCGAGCATCATTGTGAGGTGTTTTTGAAGATTTTAGTGTAGCCTTCATGGGATTAAAATAACAAACCCAAAGAAAACACATTGGGATATCACAGCAAAGAAAAAAAGAGAGTACCTTGATAGATGAGTGACCGGCGGCAGCGGCGAGAATAGATGAGTGACTGGCGGACGGCGGTGAGGGACTTCGGTGAGGTGAGGTGAGACTGAGGTGAGACTGGTGACTGGTGACTGGTGACTGGTGAGACTGAGAGAGGTGAGACTGAGAGCGGCGCACACAAAAGAAAAGAAACTAGGTTTAGACGTTTAGTAATTTTTAGAATATAAATAATATTATATAATAAATAATTTTTTTATTTAAAAATTGAAACAGGCCAGCCTATAGGCCAATAGGCCGGGCTTTTTTATTTGGCCTGTGGCCTTGTTTTTAAATAGGCTCACTTACAAGCCTTTACCTGTTCTAAGTACTTCGAAGGCCGGGCCGGGCTAGGCTTTTCATAGGCTAGGCCGTAGGCCGGCCTGAACCATTTACACCCCTAATGCCAGCCATTGTTTCCCATGCTAGCCATTTTTCCTTTTTTAAACAATCAGTGGACCCTACCATTGATTGAGTCATTGACATGAGAAGGGCCATCTCCAGTGGCATGAGAGGTGATAAGCCCTTAAGGCTTTGTTTGGGAGTTGGTTTTAGGAGGGGAAGGAAAAGAAAGCGAGGGTTTTAGTAAGCCTTTTCCTTGTTTGTGAGTTTAAAAAAATGAGGAGAAGAAATTGGGAATTTTTACTAAATCCTCGTTCTTCTTAAAATTAAAGTTCCCCCAATTTGGGGGATTTAAGGGAGGAAATATCAAAAATTACTTATCCACCCTTAGCATTAAAAAGTGAAAGTTACATAAATGTGACATTATTAGAAAAGTCTCAAATACCGACAGAATTTATCGACGAAACATATTTTGTCAAAAAACAGTGATAAATTTTTTGATGAAAATCATATGCGTCAAAAAAATTTCGTCATAACTAAAGACAACTAGATTTTGCAATAATCACTCACATAAATTTTTTATGAAAAAAAAAATCAGTCAATATTATTCTATAACTCCATTGAAACTTTCAACGAAAAAATTTCCGTCCAAAATTTTGACAAAACACATTTTCATCGAAAAGTTTACGTCAAATTTTTTTACGGAAAATATTTTCATCAAAATTTGTGATTAAAAACATTTCAATAAAAAATTTTGACGAAAAAATTTTTTAGTCAAATTTTTTTACGCAATCTAAATTTCGTCAAAAATATTTCCTTCCAAAAATTTCACAAAAACAACATATTCATCGAAATTTTTGACGAAAAATATTTATGTCAAAATTTTCAACGAAACACATTTCCATCTAAAATTTTTGACAGAAAAAAATTTCAACAAAATTATTTACAGGATTCAAATTCCGTCGAAAACTCATTTTCGTTAAACTTTTTGACAAAAAAAATTTCCTTCAAAATTTTTAACGAAACATATTTTCATCGAAAATTTTCGACCAAAAATATTTTTTTCAAGATTTTGATAAAAAACATTTCCATCGGAACATATTTCTATCAAAAATTATTTCTGTCAAGATTTTGATAAAAAACATTTCCATCGGAACATATTTCTGTCAAAAATTTTGACGGAAAAATTATTCTATCAAAATTCTGTACAGAATCTAAATTTCGTTGAATGTTTCGAATGAAACATTTTTCTCAAAAAATTTTGGCAAAACAATTTTCGTCGAAATTTTTGTCAGCACACATATCCATTGAAATTTTGAACGGAAAACATTCCGCTAAAATTTTTGACGGAATTCTTTTTTCATTTAAAACATTTGATGGAGGAAATCATTTTTGTCAAAATTTTTAACGAAATTTCGTCGAAAATTTTGATAGAAATTTTTTTTTTGTAAAAATTTTCATCAGAGAAAAATTTCGTCGCTTTTCGACGAAAAGTATTCCGACGAAAAAATAATTTTAAGACGAAATTTTCGTCGTTTGCAAGTATAACTTTTTTTAGAAATTTTAAATTTAATTTAATATATAAAATGAGAAATGTTATACTTACAATCTTTTTTTTTACAACCTCTTACAATCATATCTTAACACCGTTGATTTTCGTCAATCAACAGTTATAATTTTCACAAATTAAACTTATTAATTAATTATAAATTCAAAATAAATGATAACCGTTGATTGACGGAAATCAACAGTGTTAAGATATGATTGTATGATGTTGTAAAAAAAAAGGTTGTAAGTATAACTTTTCTCTTATAAAATATAATAATTAATTTAAAAAGAAGAAGATAAAATGATAAAAATATCTCATTAATCCTCCATTTTTCTCTCTTGCAATTTTTTAACTCACAAACAAGTGAAAAGAATACCATTCAATTTTCTTCTCTTCCTTCCCCTCCCTTGGTTTCCCTTCCTTTCATTCCCTCTCAAACACCCAAAGAAAGCCTAAATGATTTATAATTATCAGTCAGTCCTACTTTGTTGGTCCCATTAGCGAGACTCACCACACACACTATCTTCACACCACATCTTCCTTATGTACAGGATCGAACCTTTGACATAAAGAGAACAATCACTCAAGAGCCCCTTTTCCTCCCCTTCTTCCTCACGAAAGCTGATTTCCATTTTACACTGAATTTTATCTTCTATAAATGCATTGATACCCCCATTTTACACTGGTTGTTGCACATTCGAATTCAGAACGGGTAAAAGCATCCCCATAAGAGAAATTAAACCTTATGCATTCCTTAATTTGACCAACAACTGATCATGGTATAGGCGGTCTCCCGAGACGTGGTGCCAAGTCAAGGTCTCTCTCCATTTACAAAACTAAGATTCTATTTACATTGACCTTTTTTTTACTTGAATATTACATTGACCCTTTCAATTATATAAGAAACATAGCCGCATACAGCCTTAAAAGAAGATATAACGCATTTTGTGTAGTTAGGCATTAGCCAACCATTTGCATGTAAATAGAGAAGCAAACTTCATTACACTATATCAATTATTACAATAACACAAGGCAATCACGTTTATTTCCTTTTATTCTAATTGTACGAATTAGAATATAAATGGAAAAAAAAGGCACGTCACTCTGTGTGACAAAAGAAATGAAAAGTATACGACACGGCAAAGAAAACGTAGCACCCGTGGCCATAATATTACATATTTATATTGTATGTGTCTATCACATTATAATACTTTAATTATGATCTACATCATCCTTTCCCATTTGTCCTAATTCCCTGCCACCGTTCTCCGCCCCAGTCACTTCAGCTTGTTCCGCCGACGCCTCTCCCCGGAACTTCTTGTATATGTCACCTCTGTAAAACTTTCTAGTCCTAGCCACCAAAAAGAGTGAAATAACGGCACCGATGAAAGTTGCAGCTGTGATAATAATGAAGGATAACTTGAAGCAATCGACCCCAACACAATTCAATTCCTGCCCTGGCTTTCTTTGTAATCCCAATGCTGCCAACTGCTTCTTAGCTTCTTTGTCATAAAAAGGCCCAGTGATCCTCACATTAAGCACATATAACCCAATTGGACTTGCTGCGCTTCCAAAGTTGAACAAAGTTGCATAGTATTTAAGTCCAAAAAGCTCGGATATAATGGCAAAAAGTAAAGGCCACTGTGCACCAAAAGAGAACCCAATAATTACCGAAGCCACGTAGAGACCATTTGGCACATCAAAAGCTATCAGAAGGTGACCAATACAAGCCAAGAACATAGTCAAACTAAGCACAAGAGGACGAGGGAATTTGTACTTTGTTAGAATATGTTCAGAAGCAAATCCAGCAAAAACTCGTCCCAGATAATTCCAAATACTCACTAGTGACACAAAAGTGCTTATGCTTTTCTTTGGGTATCTAAGGGAGGCTCCTATCTGACCAAGATTGTCAACTGCAGTCAAAGTGCCCCCAATCCCACAAATGCTAGCCACGAATAGTATTAACATGTCGATGCTGAACAGGACTTGAAGTATGGTATAGTCCTCACCTCTGTCTGGTGGACTAAACACATTTTGCCACCACCTAGTGTCTTGGGTTTCGTGGGAAACAGTTTTACTTTGACCATTAGTAGACTCATTTGGATTGACCTTTGCACCCTCGGTTACTACTTTTACCGGCGAGGGATCAACCAATGCAAGCCTTTTACTCTGCTGGATCTTATATTCTTCTATAAAGATAACAGCAACTGGAAGGAAGAGCAATAAAAGCACCACAGCAGTACTTACACCATACTCACTCTGTTTAAAGTTGACCCTTTGCTGTATTATGATCATGACAAGTAGAAACCCAGCAAGGCCAAGCGAAATATACAAGAATTTGTAGAAAACCTTGAGCTCGTTAGGCTGTCTAATTGGCTTCATGTATCGAATGGTTCGAAGGAAAACAAAGGATATAGCAGCTGGAAGCCAACCTATGAGCAAAATCAAAGCCTTCGTGTCATGATAGTAAATAGCAGAGTATAATTGAGTGATGATTGCACCACTAAGACCCAGATAGCCTTTGAGGATGCCTAACACAACACCACGGCTTTCAGGGAAGTTCTTAACACAAGTGACGAGAGAGCCAGTGTTTGCAAAAGACTGGGAGTTAGCACCTATGAAGATATAGAGACACATCTGCCACACTTGAGGTCTCGCTATTTTTTGAGTCACTGATAGCCATATCATGAAGTAGCCAAAAAAATTGAGTACAGCACCGATGGCTAGCACTACCCAGGGTGGCATGAACTCGTTGATTAGGCCTGAGAGGAGCCCAACATTGGTGCCTACGTCCTTGAAAAAACTAAGGAGATTGATAGTGGTTTGGTCATAGCCAAGAGTTTTTTTTATGTCACTGGAGTAAAGGCCGAACATGTAGGTGGCTCCTGCACCTGACATGATTAGAAAGGAGGCAAACACCACGAACCACCGACCGGTGATGACTTGGATGGTGAGACTCTTCATGTCTCCCCAGCCATGAACACCTACGGAGCCTGAACCTGCCATGTTTATGAATAGCAATCACTCACTTGGCAGGTAATGTGAGGATGTTGAAGTCAATATATATATACAAAGTAACATAGGCATGAATGGGGACATTTATGTGGCTTAGATGTGACGTTTTGTATTTCTTATTGTTGGGGACTGTGGAGGAACGACTTTGCCAACCTTTCACATTTAATCATATTATTATTAAACAGTGGATATATAATATGTTAAAAGGAAGACGGTTGACAGCGAGAAGTTTTTTTTTTTTATAATTGTTTGTGGTATCAAGAGGAGATTATAATAATGACCCACATAATTGCATTAATAATAGTCATATTGATATTGTAATGAAATAATTCTGACTATTAAAATGTAATTTCATTTATAAATTAAAATTTAAGGTCTTTTTTCTGCATGCAAACAAATTATTTTTGAACGCTCAAAACTATGTAATTTTATGACAAAAATTAAAGTGTTTTTATAATTATAGTTTATTTCAAGGTTATAATAATCTTTATCATTATAATTTTTTAATCTTTCAACCCAGAATGATGTCATTTTGAAAGTAAATATAAATAGCTTATATGCATTCATACAAACATTAAAGCCTTAAAAAAATAAGAAAAAATTATTTGGAATAAATCTATTTGGATAAGAATAAATTAATATCTTCTTCTAATAACTACATTTATCCTTTATTTCTTGTATTTTTATAAGAATGGTATCTATCTATCTGTCTCTTTCTGTATGTCAAACGTATATATGTCTCCAAATGGTTTCTGTATTTATATCTGTGAGTGGCGGAGGTGGTGTCAAAAAATTTGATATATTAAATTATCAAAATATTTAATAGTAATTATACAAATTTATCAGAAAAAAAAATTATTATAAATTCTAACATAGTTATCTAAATTATGTACTAAAAAATGTCACATAATATTAGAAATTCAAATGAACAATTATTGTTGTTTACATATCAAAGCAAACATATAAAAATGCACTAACTTTTTTGGTAAACATTTCAAACATAAAAGTTTTACTTTCGTCGCACAATATAATAAGTAATGAACCAAACATTATCCTAAGGTAAAATTTTTGTAATTAAGTTTAGAAATAGGTCAACTAATTATTTTTGTGATTAAGTTTAGAGGTCTTTTTTTTAAGTAATAGGAGTAAGAATAAATAACATAACTGATTAGAATAAAACAGGAAAAAAAAACAAATATACAGTGTAAAAAATAAAAAAATGTAAAACACAAAAATAACCATACTATACATGTTCCTTATTATTTCATACTATACATGTTTCTTATTATTTGTTTGCATTTAGATGATTTGTTGTTACTTTGTATTGAGTATTTGATTTTCTATTTAGGTGATACCAAATTACAATTTTTACGTTAGTTAATTATAATTAATTATATAATAAAAAAAATACAAGCAGGTGTCACGACACCTGTTGGCTTCGCTGTGGCTCCGCCGTCAGTCTCTTTCTGTATGTCAAACGTCTATATATCTCCAAATGGTTTCTGTATCTATCTGTCTCTTTCTTTGTTACACCGTAATGCATTGACCAGTTTGCTTTCGTAAACATCTCGAAGAATGACACTCCCACAGTCATATAGGACAATTTTTTGTAGGTACGTAGTCTCCATCATAGTGGTACTAGGCCGGCTTGGTTCATATCCTTCTGCCTTACGATAATTTGACTAATCAAAGTTTTACCTCATCAAAGGGGTATTTGAGTCAAGGATGAAAGTGAGTAGACGCGCGTGCAAATTTAAGAATATACATTGTTAAAGAAATGTAGTTCATAGCTCATCTTTGATCCTGTCTTACAATAATTTGAATAATCAAAGTTTTAGCTCATCAAAGGGGTATTTGAGTTAAGGATGAACGAGAGAAAACGTGCAAATTTAAGTATAAACATTGTTAAAGAAAGTAATGTGGATAATTTTTTTTAAAGAGTTGCTATGATCGTAAGTATTATCAATTATTAGTTTGTTATAAATATTTAAAATTCGGTTAAATATAATTAATATATGTTGTCTGCTACAAAAATTAAATTTTTAATAACCCATTCAAAAAACATCGATAGTCAATGAAGAATTAATAGCAGATTAAATATTGCATGGTTTAGTGACTATTTGTCCGATAACGTCTACAATTACAACTTAATTATATATTTTATGACAAAAATGTTGCCAAAAAACTGATTTTCTTCTTCTTATTTTTTTAATGATTGCGTAACATTACTATCGTAACTACCTATCATATAAAAGGATAAAGAGCTCACATAAGACGAAAAAGGATATTCTAAAATCAGCCTTAATTTTACCACTCACTGTTCTTTATAGATTATTTTATATTGCCGGTCGTGCTGAAACGAGACAATAAAAAATAAAATAAGCAATACTTTTGAAAGTTAAAAACTAGTGTATTTAGGTCTTACTTACTTTTTTTTTTTTTTTTTTTTTGATTTGGGGTGAATTAATATATATATCTTGGTTGATACCCTAAGTTTAAATTTTTCCTTTTCCTTTTATATCTTACAACTCTACTGATAAAGAAAGGATTTGTGTGTACCCTTTTCCCCAAGGACAGGGAATCTCCTAATAAAGAAATAAAATAAAAAATAAAAAGATAGAATTAACTTTGGGTATTTTATTTTCTTATTCATGTCAGTCTGACGTGGTTATATTTATTTGTAGACACTTTTCTTTATGTGTAACATGCTAGCAATTTTATAGTTGACCGCCTTATTGGTTTAATGCTATAATCTTGACGTGATAATAATCAAGTGTATAAAATATTAGAAACAAATCTGAAAAATCAATTAAATGAATCTTGTCAACTAAATACTTTTGGAGAAGAAAAAAAAACTCAAAAACTGATAAGCATGCTGGAGTGAGTGGGAAAGAATTTTTGAAGAGGATTCTTAATTTTAACATTCTAATAGAAATATAATATCTATGAATTTTCTGAGTTGCAATATTACATGTATAACGTTAATATGATTGGTTTTTGTGGAGAAAATGATTGATTAAAACTTAATTAAATGAAAAAAATTAAATAAACCAGGTCAAATAAATATTTTTGTAGAAAAAAATATGTATGAAAATTGATAAGCGTGCTGGAGTACAGAGAAAGAATTTTTGAAGAAAATTCTTAATTTTAACATTTTAATATAAATATAACAGTTATGAATTTTTTGAGTTGTAGTGTTATATAACATTTGATTTATTTATTTTTTAGAAAATGCTTGTTCAAAAGAGAATCCTTTTTTAGATTAATTTTCTTTACATAAGAGCGAACTGACCTGATTAATTAATTGATAAAAATAAATAGTTCTTTCTATTTTATTGTTTTTTGCTAATAATTTTCGAAGTGGATTATATTTACAACCATTTTGTTACCATCGAGTATAACATCGCTTATAATTTCCATTATAAATTTATCATATACCCGTAATAAATTAATGTTGCGATAGTATGTTCCTATAACCTCTTTTATCATGTACCCCGTAATAAATGTAGTCATGGTATGTTCCTAGCTATATTATATATATATATATATATGTAACTTAAATAGCTAATTAAAATGAGTAAGAATTGTTTACCAAAAAAAAAATGAGTAAGAATTTAATTAAATTATAAATTTAAATATATCATAAAGAAATACACTCTATCAAGTGTCAAAAGCAATGAAGAATCAACAGCTTCCGCACTACCGAATATTATGATTTTGTTAGTAAAAAATATATCATGTTCTCATGTGAAAAATAGGGAGTTGTGGCGCCATGGGCGGCATCAAGTTGAAGCTTCACATGCGGCTGAAAATCGTGCATGGAAAAGAGACACTTAAGTAGTTGTAACAACCCACCTATATAAACAAAGTCATATTGTAGGTGTGGCCATTGGGAGCATGTATTTCTGTATATGAGTGGGTTGTTAAGCTAAGATTAATTATTACCTTTAATAAATTTCAATACATGAAAGCATTGACTTGCTCAATTAATGAATCTTAGGTGAAGTGTTTTTAACTTAATAACAAAAAATAAAAAGAATATTCAAATTAACTATTGATTATGTGGTTCTATTGAAAGCATAAGAAAGAGATTTTAATTCGTATGTATAACAAGTAAATATTTCATGCATTGCACGGATACTTATAAATATAAACAAAATTGAAAGGATTTAAGTTTAAAATTTAAAAATAGTAAAAAAAATTATTCGTTAAATAAAAAATTGAAATAATATATTATCCATAAAAGTGTATTTCAATTGAACATGTAAAAGAAATTATTCTTGATTTATATTGTTTGCGCGGATCTTACGGGTCAATGGCTTGCCGGCATCAAAATCTGACTTAATTTATGTCCACTTGAAAGTATTTTAAGAAAAAAAAGTAGTGAATAAGGGAGAATATATAATATTAAAAAGCCTTCGAAGAATCGTTAAGGGGACCCACTGCATGACTTTTGAAGTTAAATTGCCCAATGCCGCAAGCAACAAAGACATGTTGTTGCAACCAACGTGCGGACACAATTGGTAGTGAACTGTATCCTAAATATAGGGTCATGTATTTAATTTTTGTAGATATTTTTTAAGGTTTGCATTTATCATTTAACATTACAAAAGAAAGTTTCCTACACACACAACATTTTGTGGGGCTCAAACTTTTTGAAGCAAAAAAAAAAAATTACGGCACGCAAAACGAATCTCTATAACATTACACAATTACTTTTCCTACAACATAATTCTTATAAAACCCATATTTTTTTGAGGTCAAAGTTGATATCCTTGAATTCTAAGCCTCATTTGAGGAATTAGTTTTATCCTTTCTTCGGTGATTACTGTCCAACGCAACCACCACATTAATGAAAAGCTAACTTTAGTAGTCATATTTTGAGGATAATGTGATCAGAGAAAATTGAACGGGATTATCTTCATTTTAATACTAAAAAAAAGACATGTTGTGTTTGCATTGAAGGGCTAGGTTGTCTAGATATAAAAATC